GCCGCACCTTGTTATCTCGCGGCGAAGGTCACGCTTGACCTTCGTTGTCTTGAGCACGTGCTCTTTGTTTGTTTTCCTGCTTCTTTTCTCCGCCCGCAATCTCCGCGAGATCTGGCGACTTATTCCTCATTCAGTTCCCTAGCGCTTATATACGGCTTGTAACTAATGCCTGTACTGTAGTTCGAAATCAACTAGAATTCACCCCCTAGGCTTACCTCTGTCCCCCGTGAGACCTCTGACTTTCTGAAGTATCGGGACCGCGTCGAGAACGAGGCGCAACGCTCCTCCTCGAGTCGTTGAAGCCGAAATCCCGGCTCTCTCGCCTAAGTAGCCTCGGCCTCGAGATCGGTGGGGTTTATTCCTCGCTAAAGCTCGGTCGTGTGTAGGACGCCTATTCCACTAGCAGGCAACGCTCGGTCGCCTACGGCTACCCTCGGCGAAGATTCGCACGGTTCTGACAGGGCCCCAAGTTTCGTTTGAAACTTTTGGGGAATGTGTGCATAGGCAACACATCCGAATAGTCGCAGTGATTTGAGTGAAGGTTTTCGACCGAAATATGCCTCGAAGGGTGTCTGGTTCTGGTTTAGTGCTCGGGTTAATACCCGGTTCTTAATCCAGACAGCATGTCGTATGGCAATACCCCAGAAACTCGGAGGAAGTTGCTTGACTTTAAGCACTTCTTTCGCATCTTCTAGCATTGACCGTGCGCGGTCATTTAGAGTGCGGTTTACCCTTTCAGCAACTCCATTCTGTTGCGGGGTGTAGGCGTTTGTGATCTCGTGGGTGATTCCCTCGGACTCAAGGTAAGTTTTGAAGTTGGCAGATGTGTATTCGCCACCTCCATCTGTGCGCAGGGTTTTAACCTTTCTTCCAGATTCCTTTTCAGCTTTCGCTTTCCAGGCTTTGAATAGATTTAGCGCTGAGTCCTTGGTCTTTGCAAGTCCGATATGGGTGTACCGGCTATAATCGTCGGTGAAAGTGATGAAATAACGGTGACCCTCGCGGGTCTCTGGAGTGATTGGGCCGCATAAGTCGCTAAAGACTCGGCCTAGTGGTTCGGATGAGCGGGTTGAGGTGGATTTAGGGATTGGATCGCGTGTTTGCTTTCCCTTTAGGCAAGGTATGCAGCGTCCCTTTCCTTTCTCCGTAATTTCCATTTCGCCCACTGACCCATGTTTCTCCATGTTTAGGATTGTATCCTCAGTAACGTGTCCAAGCCTCCGGTGCCATAGGGCTAGGCTGGCTTTGGAAGTTGACATGGTTTGGGTCGTGAGTGCGTGCTCATCATCCTCTGCAACTTCGACTCGACAAAACTTTGCAGTTTCGGGATACATGATCTTTACCCGGAGTCTATAGAGACTTCCGTGTGGGTATGCGTGATTAACGACTCTTCCAGATTTGGAATTTACGATGTCGATGCGGTCATCCTCAATAATGGTTCTGAGACCATTCTTCGCAAGTTGTCGGCCAGATAGAAGATTTTCGTTTAAGCGGGGCACATGAAGAACATTTGTGAATCGGCCAGGATGGGATTGATCTCCCATGAATGTTTGGACCTCGATATCACCAATACCAACTGCGTCGATATAAGCGTCAGCGGTTTTGATCTTCTTTGGGTGAGTGAGTTTCTGATAAGTCAAGAACATTGAGGAGTCGGGGGTCATATGTGATGAAGCCCCTGTGTCGATGACAAAGTGGGTGAAGGGGGAAGTTTTTGAGGCTACTAGCGCAGTCTCAGACTCGAGGGTCTCATGTGCGAGGTATACCAATAACCCCTCTCCCGATTCTTCGGCTTCAGCTACTTTAGCTGATTGCCCTTTCCCCGACTTCTTCCGTCTCGGACCTCTTCCCTTTGGGGCTTTCCCTTCTGCCCCGCCTCCTTCTGCCCAACATTGCTCTGCAGTGTGCCCCTCTTTCTTGCAGTTGCCGCACGTTAATTTGTTTCCCTCCCTAGATCTCTGACTCAGCTGGCCTGAAGAGGCCTTCCCTTTTGGGGTTCCCTTCCCAACTCGGACTAGCATAGCAGTTTCCTGCTTGTGCTTGAGTTTACTCTCGTGTACGAGGATCGTGTCTATTGTATCTTACAGGGTAAGTTTGTCCTTGTTCAGGAGAATTTCCTGAATCATCTCCCACTCTTCCGGAAGTGCCATGAGTATGGCAACTGTCTGGATTTCCTCGCTAATATTGGTTCCTAGTGAGTCGAGTTTAATGAACAAATCCTTTAGCTCCTGAATTTGACTGTAGATATCCTTTTCGGGAAGCATAACAGTGTGGAAGAGTTTCTTCATAAGGTAAAAGACAGACTTCGTGCCTTTTCCTTCAAACTTCTTTTTGATTTCCGCCCATGCTATAGGAGCTTCTTTGATACCCTTTATGAGAAGTTTGACTTCCTCGTCGACGGACACAACAAGTTGGAGTAAAGCCGCAGAATTACCCTCTTTCCATATTTGGAGTGGAGTTAACGCGGTGCTGGGTTGTGGGGCAGGAGTAGCGGGGGGAGTGTTTCCTGAACCTGTACCAGTATTGGCAGGTGCAGTAGTGGGTGCGGGAGCAGGGGGAGTGGAGGAAGGTTTAGGGATTGAACCATCAATGTATTCCAGTAAGTGGTGATTCTCGAGTACGAGTTCAATCATTGATTTCCAAGTTCCGTAGTTCGATCCATCAGCTCGTAGCCGATCGTTCTCGAAGATTCTGGTATCGACTTTGTGGGAAATGGTGGTCATGGTTGATACTGGGTTGATGGGAGTCCTTCCTGGTTAGAATTAGAGAGCCTCTGGGCTCATAACCTAATAGGAGGGCTAAAGCGGGAGCTCAGTCTCCGTTAATGAAGAACTGAATTACTACGGTTAATACTAACCTAAAGCGGGAGCTATAGTACAGAAGAGTACAGAGTAAGTAATGTAACAACTAACTAAAAACAATGATACTAACCTCAGTCTCCGTTAATGAAGAACTGAGGAGAAAAGGAAAGTAGACCCAAACAATTACCTATATACAATGCAGTCACGGTATCAATACAACGGAAACGAAAAATAAGATCATGTGAGTTTGGTTAGTGAGTCACGCGTCGTTGTAACTCCAACAGTTGCAGGGAGGGGCCTCATCGCTTTTAGTGGAAGGAAGCGGGGGGGTGCCTTTTGGGGGCCTTGGATTTTCGCGGCAGTGGGTGATCTCGCATGTTTCCTCGTATCATTCTCGGTTGCTGATGTGTGTTCTTTATTTTTGCCGCTACCTTTATGTCTATTGCCGAAGAGGGGGGCAGATTGGGCAATATCTGTATCGTCAGAGTCGGAGGAATCCTCGTCCACCTGTTCGGCAATGGTGGTCGCAAAGTTTTGTGGCGCATTGGTTATGGCCACTATCATTTGTTCATCATCAGATGTTAGCGAGGTCTGGAAGGATGCAGAGAGGGGGGCAAGTATCTGTTTGGACTGCGATCTTGTCAGGGGGTTGTGAGTTGGGCATTGGGAGTATTTACCTCCATGGTTCCGTGGGTTGCTCTTAGCCAGTTACTTTTAGGGTCTGGGGCTATGAGTGTTCTGACGGAAACTGTCATAGTTCTTGCGGAGCTAACTGTATTATATCCAGCTGCTGGGGGCGTCGGTATTTGAGGTGGTCTAGCGCTTGCGATTTGTGGACCCGTGTCTGAGGTTAGTTTGCTGCCTGCCTAGGTACTGCTTGGGCGTCCTTTGGGTTGACGTGGTTAGCCCTATGTTGTAAGTTCTTTTGTGTAGGAGAGGACTTTGCAATTGACTCGTGGGCAGTTATTGGGTGGCGGGAGTGAACCTACAAAACCCCTCTGAGATGAGCGCAAAAAAATCACGTGTTTGATGAATTTACACAAATATGAAAATGATGATATTTTGTTTGAATCCGCCAATTACAATGAAGGAAATGAATAGGATGCAAGCATGAAGACACAGGCAGGGGCCCGGGCGCCTTCATAACTGTGGGGCATTTAACGGAAGGGAACAGAAAGTTGTATGCAGTAAGAAAAAAATAGTGGAAGAAGGGGGGCGAGGGAATTGAGGCCAGTTTAACTATACATATATATGGTTTGGTCAAGGCCCCTAGCGATGGTGGTTTGGCCTAGCGGCCGGTGCCGGATTCTCTTCAATCCCGTGTCTGGATGGGTCTTGGTTCGAGTCCTATATGGTGTTTCTTTTTTTTCTCCCTTAGAAAACTTTTAAGATGAGAAACTTCAATTCCGAGGGGTGATCAATGTCATGAAAAATGTACATTGGGCGGCTTTTGACTTCGTGATCAACCCCGGATCCGTGGCTGAAATTAACACTTTATATATTACTTTTAGGACCGGATCCATGTGAGGTCTACTTGGTCTAGTGGATTATAGCGCTGTTTATGACCCTGTCTCCCCCCTGCTTGTGCAGGTTCGATTCATTTATGGTGGATTTTTTTTTGCCTCAGTTATTGCACGAGGATGACTTCAATGTATATATAACACCGATAAGCAATGCTACACTAACTGCACTAAACAAACCCTATTCCGAGCACGTTCTACAATACACAAGCGCTGTAATGGTAATTAATAATTTTAGTTTGGTAATTGGGTTGGGTTGGGGAATAACAGGGAGGGGACGATGAGACCGCACGCAATGAATATTTATTACATAATAACGTCACATGTAGGCAATGGTCGTTGGCTGGTTTCTAAATCAATTCCCATCATTTTTTGTTCGGCCATGATCACGTGTATATTTCCTTTTGCGCTCATCTCAGAGGGGTTTTGTAGGTTTTCTGGTGGCGGGTTTCTTGCCCGGATGTTGTGGCCGTGCCAGGGTGGAGATTTGGTGGCAGCGATTCTGGTTTAGGTTAGCGGACAGATTGACTGCGCAATTTAGGATGGACATAGGTAATGCTCATTTGGTTATGGTATGGGTTAGTTCACACAGGTTGTACGGGTTATTTTATTATTATTATTATTTATTTATTTATTCCGCACGTTGATTCGGGTTTTCGTCAGCGTGTTGCGCATTGTCATGACAGCCCTTGAGATTTCATCCACTGTGGCAGGAGGGGGAGGTTCCTGGCCCTATTCTTATCGTGGGCGCGGGGAAACTGGAACCGGGGTTTTGGTATTCCAAGATGAGCTGCAATGGGGCAGTTTGGGTATATCGTGGATGTACTCTCGAAGGGGACGCAGATCGGCGTATATTAGGCTTGGGTTTGAGGGTTACGGTGGGGACAAGACATAATGTGTCCATGACCAGGGCGATACTGAAGCTTGGTGTTTCTTGAGTCATTGCGGTTGGGGCACGAAGATTGTGCGGTTATAATGGGGCAGGACGATTGGGTAGGGGGGTGGGGGAGAGCATCCGACAGGGCCGTCTTGGCTAATAGTGGCCGGGGATTGTCTGGGTAGCCGTTAGGTGGCAGGCCAGGCGTCGGTTGCGATCGGTGGTTGAGGTTTCGTGGGCACTGCGTTGGGGTTAGGGCTGAGGTGGGCAGTTGGAGTGTTTCGTAGGTCTTTAATATAGTTTGATTTTTTTTTTTTTTAGGGGGGTCGGTTGTCTGCTTGGGCTGCGCCCTCGTCAGGGGGAGGACAGATGGAGGTGGTACCTCCTGACTCTGCGAGTCTATAGTGGGACACCTAATCTACGGCGCGTAGGCTGTGTGGATGTTCCCGTGAACTGTCCTAGTTCTTGCGGAACTACCCATGGACCCAATTGCCTAGGCCGCGCTCGGCGTTTTTATAAGGTGGCAATTGGGCGCTCATGGTCGACGGCCCTGGGCTCGGGGTCGACGCGACGCCCGCCCTGGTGCCGCCTGAGCTTTACCCCCTGGTCGACATTGCCGGCCCCTTTTCTTTTCGTTTCTCTCTTTTTTCTTTTTTCTTTTTTTTTTCTTTCGCGTGTGTGTACTAGCTGTATGTTTTGCCTTTCGCTTTTGTTTTTTACCTTTCTAGTTTAACGACTTTGCGGTCGATTTTGTGATGTTTAAGCACCAGCCCAAGGGCGACTCCGATCGAATTGAACTAGGGGGAATGGGTGCGACCGAAGAGTTCTGACAGTGTCAACGGATGACTAGGCACCAGAATCAGGTAGTGGATGTGTGATCTGGGTGGAGATTGGTCGGGGTAGGGCCAATTGTAAATTTGGTGTTGGCCTGGTCGTAGCGAAGGGAGCAGGGGTTTCGGAGAATCTGGTTAAGTTTGAATGGAGTTCCAGTGCCAGTGAAGCTATAATTAAGGGTGTTCACGACCAGCCACGGCTCGACCCCAGATCGACCAGAATTCCACGTCTAAATTTTACAAATCGACTCATGACCTCGGCGTTCCCAGGAAGGCACGAGTTCTCGAAGCTCGGTGTGTGAGATCGAATGAGTTTAAAACTTGGAGGCAGGACTATATTTGTTAGTTCCGGGGGATGGCGCGTCGAGGGACCCAGGAAGAGACCGTTTCGAGGGCAATAAATGAGGTTCACGCGGGAATTACTTTTGACCACGGGAAATTGGTGGACGTGACTCTGACGTTAATTAGCCACAAGGTAATGTCCATCGGATCTGGCGTTTCGTCACCCAGCTAAGACTTCATATATCGGCAATAATCCACTTCAAGCTCCTGCACTAGAGTCCTTTCGAAATGATGCAAAATTTCCTCAGCTCCGACGATCCACTCAACCTGGACAATGTTCGAGCGACGCTTATACGACTTGAGGACAGCATCATTTTCGGTAAGATCCTGACTTCCTTACTGCACGAGAGCCGCCTATCTGATTATATACTGTGGTCAAAGCTCTGATCGAACGGGCGCAGTTTGCACTTAATCCTCGAGTTTACGAGAAGGGCGCATTTCAAGAGTTGATCGACCTAGGATTTAACGGCACTCTTCTAGGATGGTTCCTCAAAGAGACGGAGAGCTTCCATGGTCAGTAGTCCTAGCCTTTGTTCATCCACCTCACATGACGATAGTTTGCGAGGTAGCCAAGGCACGACGATACACGAGGTACGAACACTGCTCAGATGTCAGCACAACGTTCGGAGCTTATGTTGCGACTCCATAGCCCAGATGAGCACCCCTTTACTCCAATAGAGTGCCTACCAAAGCCTATCCTCCCTCTTCTTGAAATGCCTGCGATCCTCCATCCGAACAAGATCAACGTCAATCCCTCCGTCTTGTCTTTCTATACGCGAACTATTGTTCCTCTTATCACTCGACGAGCGACAAGAGATTTCGCTGCTATGAGCCGATCCAAGGGTAGGAATGGAGGCGAAGAGTTTGAGGATGATGGCAACTATGGCAGTTCTGTCACGGCCGACCTCGCTGCTCTGCAACTCATCAGCAAACGAGTCCATTACGGTGAGTCAGCCTGTTTGTGCATGCTAACTTGACATAAGTTTTCACGTCTTCATTATCGTCCTATGGATAACACCCTTCATCTTCCATGCGCCGCCTGCAGGGAAATTCGTTTCCGAGTCCAAATTCCGCTCTGACCCTGCCGCGTTCATTCCACACATACTCAAACCAGACCCTCAGGCTCTTGAGGCCCTTATCACCAAGCCTGCAGTCGAGAAGGCGCTTCTGGACCGGATTGTCGAGAAAGCCAGCATCTATGGACCTGATTTAGGTGTGGATGGGAAATTGCCGATTCAGAATGGGAACCATTCTGATACCAAGTGGAGGATTGACACTGAAACCGTTCGGGAGCTGTATGAGGATTGGATCATTCCCCTCACGAAGGAAGTAGAGGTATGCTGCGTCTCACAATGCGTCGCTTTCTTGATGTGATTACTAACGTGTGTTTCCTGAAAGGTTGACTACCTTCTCCGTCGTCTAGATGGACTTACACAGGAAGAAATTGACCTGCTTTCCAAATCCCAAGGGCCTGAGGCATGAAAACATTGACATGCCAGTCATCGCTTGCTATTTAGACACAAATGGCCCTGCCATTCCCCAACACTCTTATATTTCTTGTATCCACATATTTTGTACTATGTGCGTATCCCTCTGGCGCTCAGCCGTTGGCGTCCTCAAACAGAGAAATAAAGTGAGTGGAAGCGTTCGTGACGAACACCAGCTTCGGAGGAAAGCTAGCCTCAACGAAGGACCGCCTTCAACACTTTGAGACACATTGGCCGTGGGCAGTTCGCGGGGGCGATTTATAGTAATCCGCCTTCAGTTTGTCTCGATTGCATAAGCCCATGGCCGCTCGGGGGCATGGTAAATTGCATCCGGTTGCCAAATAACCCTGATTTGGGAAGTACATATTGAAGGGCTTTCATCCTTTGCGACGCCTCTTCTAAACGTTCATTGCACGCTCTCTTCGTTTAAAACATCCATCATACTCATTTCTCAACCAGACTAGGTCGCGCGAGATTGTGTGCACCGCACGCCCCGCTCGTGAAACGCGGGCATATATTGGAACCTCGATCTCTCGTAGTTCTTCTTACGGCGACCTTTGATCTTTTCTTAATTTGCCAACTCACACATTCCACACCTGCCAACCACGTAACACGTTTCCTCAATGGTGCTCGGCCTGACGCTTGGAAAATCTAAACGAAAACACTCTGTCAATGAGGAGCCTGAGCCTGTACACCTCAGAGCTTCCCCATCCCTCCCTGAGCTCAATCCCACTGCCGTCTCCTGGCCTTCGAACCTTGTCACCGATACTAACTTCAACCTTGACGATGCCACCTCCAAGCAGAATGGGAATGTGAGAGCGTCTCTCTCCCGACAAAGCAGTGGCCGAACGATCTCGTTCAGCAAGCCTTTCAAAAGGTTCTCGGTCTCAACGACTATTGGGGATGCAAGAGAGAAGAAAGACAGTATGGGGTCTTCATACCCTCCTTCTGCATTTGAACGTGCTGCAGGTATTATTGGTAGCCCATTACGTTCCAAGAGACGGCCGCAAAACATCGTCCCTAATTTCAACATCATGATTGTGTACGTAATGTTCGGACTTCATTCCACTCCAGCCGCATGACTTCTGACGCTCCTTTTCTTTCTTTTGGGTATTCTTTAGCGGAACTGTCGGAAGCGGGAAGACCAGTTTGATGCGTTTACTTCTTGGAACGAGCAACATCTCGAAGGGTGCTACGCCCGAACAGCGAGCTAAAGTTGAACAGATCCTCCAGAATCCGTCTCTATCGCATGACTCGGCTGTGAATTCTGCTTCGGTTGAGATCGAAGAAGGCGCGGAGCGTCTAATTTTAACTTTGCTTGATACTCCTGGTTTCCACCACAACGAATTAGACTTGGAACGAGCCATCACAACTCTGGTTCGGATGGTCGGGGCGAGATATGATGAGACGCTCAACGAAGTTAGTGGCTTGATGCGTGAGATAAGGTCACTGATCTCATACGTTCTTCCCCATAGGAGAGTAAAGTTGTACGACAGAGCGGCAAGGGGGATCATCACATTCATTTGTACAGCGATTGATTCTAACACTCTGAGTTGCATTGTTTAATAAGCCTTTAACTAGATGTCTATACCTTATTTCACCCACATCGCTGAGGGAATATGGAGACGTAAGCTCATTGTTTTTTTCCAGGGGTGCTTTTTTTGACGCCCAAGGACTCAGAGTCATCTCAAGCTTGACAAGGCCGATATCACAGCTGTCCAACGGCTTTCTGAACGTGTCAACGTTCTTCCCATTCTCACCAAAGCAGATACCATGACGGACGAACGGATGGCACTGGTGAAGGCAGCCGTGAATCGGGACCTCCGAGCGGCAGGCCTCCCTATAACGCTTTTGGGTTCCACAGATGTCGAACCTTCGGATGCTATGGAGATAGATTTGCAGGAGGATGCTGAGTACCAAGATGAGAATGAGCCCGTGCCTGCTGAGCCAACTCCTCACGTCGTACGGATACGCCCGACCTCCGCATACATCAAGGCTAAACGCCGGCGTACTTTCAGTCAGCGTTCAAGATCTCGTGCGCGGGCAGCGTTGACCGATGAGGATCTCGAATTGTTCGGAGATTCTGGCACTGGTTTGTTTACCATGAATGATTTGCGAAATGCCCTTCCCTTCGCCGTCATGTCGCCCAACAAGCTGCCTACTGCCTTGGGCTCTTTTTTGTACAAGGATGCGCCTGATGGTGGACTCTTTCCTCCAAGCTACGTGGAAGCGCTGTCCCAGAATAGGGGACAATTCACGCGGAAATACCGATGGGGCCCAGCTGATGTACTTGGTCAGGAATTCGGGTGTTAGCCAAGACTGCATGCTCACTTCTTCTCTTTCAGATCCACAACACTGTGACTATCTTGCGCTTCGGCATTCTATATTAGGTGTTCGGATGAAGGTAGAATTCAACATGGATTATAGATGGGGATTCACTGACAACTTTTGCAAGATGTTGAAACGGACCACCCGCGAAGTGTTGTATGAGAAGTATCGCACAGAACAACTTCTTGCCCGACGACGATCAATGAAGACCAACACCGAGATGTTGTAGCTAGCGTGTGTCTTCGTGCTCCATTTTAGACCTGATGACGATGTCTAGGCCACGGCACATCAAACCTTTCAACCATTTCACAATAATAGGGAGTTTTCTTGTCTTGCTTTATACTCTCCTCAACTGGAATCTGGGAAATTATTATATTCTTGCTTATTTCAGCCTCGGTACCTCACTCCTCTCCTTTATCTGTCGCCCAATTCACTCATTTTGCTTTCATCTCGTGTTCGCCGGTCATCGAGTGGCATGGCCCCTTCACCTCCCCCCGGATGTTCTTCGTTGCTTAGTCGTTCGAAGCGCTGGTTCTGCGTACAAATGTAATTCAATGCATGTTCATTGGTTTTGACACATCAATCAGTCTCCTTATAAAGCACCTTGCCCAAAAATTCTGATCAAGAGCGAATGCCAAGTTCTACATTCGGGGGCATGTTCAAAGGCCCTCTACTTCTCATTTGTGTGCTTCCGTCGATCCGTTAGTTGACCTGTAAGTTGGCCTGGGTTCCCTGTTAATTTGTTTTTTGAGTCGATCCTTGATGTCTTTGCGCTTGTCGGTATGTTGCTATTCTCTTATTGCGAAGTCATAGAGGCTGGAGTCCTGCCTATCTTTCTCATCGGTCAACGAGGCTCAGCTTCTTAGTGGTAGCGGGTTCTCCGAATTGTAGTAATATTAAATAAACTAGAAATGGCTGCCGTGCAGCCCTTGTGATAAGGCTTCTGCATGTGAGGTTAACCGCCACAGCAGAACAGTTTGTGCCGAATCGTTGATCAAACTGGCAGGGTCTTTTTGCACCATTATGCTGAGGTTCTTTCTACCATCGCGCAACTTTTATTAAGCTGTCATGGGTGTTCTTTCCCCTCTTTTTGTTTGCCATGAGCACACTACATTAGTTATTACCCAACAGTTAGCTTTCCCAACGCTCTATTCCACTAGCTTTATCCGATTAAAAGAATGCAGGACATTGCGCCGTTGATATGAATCACGGAGGTATGTGTAATCAGTGATGGTGGATGGATCGAGGTCCAAGGCACACTCAAAAATGAGTATGACCACGGTTTAGAGGTTGAATCGGAAGTGATGCAAATGGAGTTAGAGGAAGCCACAGTGTGCAGGAAGAGTCGCGTTTCAAACTGAGATTGGAGTAATGAGGAATGTGTAGTGTTAGTCAAGTTCGTACTCACAGAGAGCCGACTGGGTGTCTGAAGTCTGAGCTAACATAGTTATACGAGGGGTCAAGTGATTTGTCTTATCGCAGTGGTACTACAGCGGAAGTGATTGTCATATTGGGAAAGGAGGACCCTAGGTTACAAAGGATCCTGTGAACAGCACTTGTGGGGCCTAAATGTGCAGAACCCGCTACGAAGTAGTGGGAAAAATGAGCCAGAAAGATCTTATCGCGAGAGTTGTAAGAAAGGACACGTGCAGAGAAGAGGTCAATACATTTTCAGAATTCCCACGAATTGTGGACATGCAAGAGACCTTGCAAGCAAGGTAATCAAGTCTGGTCACCTGCTTACCCCGACAAGGACTTCAGACTGATGCGTCTGAGTCTCTTTGGCCGATCTCTCCTGCTATTTGTTTGCGAGGTGTTGGCAAATGCGGCCGTCTGGATTACCTCTGGATTACTTTTTGGCCTTCGTTCGGAGGCCCGATCCGTCCTAAGTTTATGTCTCCTTGCATGGGTAAGGATTGTGAACTTCTTCCCTTTTTTCCCTTGCGGCGTGCGCGTTCTACACCTTACTGATGCTTGTCCTGCTGAGCAGACATTAGGCCTTAGGCACGGTATGTCCGGTCAAGCCGATTCCCTTTATACCCCAATAATTACACAACAACCCGGTCGATCCATAGCTCTGGATGCCGATCATATAAGGTGCGCAATGGACTGTACTCTTTGAGCATGCCACACATTTCTTTGCGCTTCGATTGCTCAGTGCCATCGATAACGCTACACGGGGACTAATGGCTTTAGGCCAGTTTCCAGTGACTTGTGGTTTGTTCTTTTCTTTGGGACACAGTACGATCGTTATCGTTGTGGTAAGGTGGCATGATAAGGACGCATAAGGATGTGTATAACTGATGTTGGGAAGACAGAATATTGCCGTCGCCATCAGGTTTGTTGTATCGAGCGTTATCTTGGATGCGGGGTTTTTCTTATATTTCCATCCTCAGTACCGACGTGTATGATAAAATTGGAAGTATGTTATTGTATGGAAACTTTATACCGAAACTGATGTTCTTCTATAAGGCATTGGAGATGTTGGGAGCGTCGTAGGTGAGCCCTAGCGTACCTTTGCAGCCTGCTACAACTTATGGGTGTATGAAGGTGCCATTGTGAGCGGGACATTCCTTTTCCTCATTGGCACCGCGAACGCCGTCATACTCTGGCGAATCATCAAACGTCGCCGAATGGTTGGTAGTCCTTGTCGCTTCAAGTCGAATTGCGACCTCACCTTGGCTAGGATGCCAGACGCGCGGAGCTTGGGCTAGCTCCAATCGATGACGGTTACGATAATACTCCTTCAATCATGCTGCGCTTCCTAGGGCCCGTGACGGCATTCGTTAATCGGCCATGGAAAGTTTGTTGTGTCATTTTTTTAATGTGTCTTCTACTAAACAGCCGTGGCGTAGATGTATCCTGTCGGAGTCCTTTTCGGATTCGGGTTCGACACGGCTTCTTCTATTGCTCTGCTAGCAATAACAGCCTTAGCCAAAAAGAGACCGGATGGTCGAGGAACGATCAAGCAATCAGAAATCATCGTATTGCCCCTCCTCTTCACTTGCGGGATGACTCTTGTAGATTCCATCGACTCCATCATCATGCTCTACAGTTATGCTGGGTTCCCTGAGCGGGGATGGAGCCTATGGGAAGAGAAAGCTGCACTCTCAGTTGAAACTGTTGAAGGTGGTCCGAAGAGAGGTCCAGATCCTTCTGATCTGACACCAACAGGCATTGAAGATCCAAAAGCTTCCGGTTCTTCGCCATCAGCAAGTGAGACTGCCCAGCGTCTTGAACTACCCATAGATGCTCTACCAATTGGCGGGATCGGGGGACCAAGTGGGGGTTTACCGACATCAAAGGCTTCCTTTCAAAATCCTTCTGAGCAGGTGGAGCATCAGCATTCCGATGCTGAGCCTGGGACTCGTCAAAACGAATTGAGACGAAAACTCATTTCGAAACGAAATACCATGTCATCGCTTAGTATCATATTAACACTGATTTCCATTCTTGTGAGCCTGCCTACCATTATAGTCCAGAGGTTTTGAGTTCCATCACGAAATTGCTGAATCGTTTCTTCTTATGGCCTCTCACAGGTTGCTTTCAGCATCAGTCTAATCACGATCATGGGACTCATCGGTGAAAAGTGCGCGTCTTGCAAGGCCGCCGCCGAAAATGATCCCGGCATAAGCGGGAAATGGTGGAGAGGATGGGTGCAGGTACTAGGAGATTGACTCCGATTCGAAATTTCACGTTTATTCTGATGCATTTTTTTTTTTGCAGGCAAGCGACCAGTCGGGACTTGTGGGTGCTGGAATTATAGGAATATTTGTTTGTATTGTTGCTATGTATTATTCCTTCCGATGGGTGAAACGTTGTAACATGCATAACGACGAAGTTCGAACTTGATGTATAATCGCCAATAGAGTTTCCGCCAATGTAGCGGTGAAGGGCTGGGCCTTGTGCTTGTGCTGCTAATGAGTCACATTGTAATCAGTTTTTACATATTTGCCGACAGGCAGAAAAAGGCACACAACAAATCTCTGCCTTTGACTATAATCCCCTAAACCTTCCGAGTGGCGGAAGCACAATCCCTCAACTCATCCATCCGATACGCAGCCGATCCAACAAGCAAGGTCATAAAACCAGAGATCCCAATCGGATCAAGACAACACGTCTGGTCCTTCATTATCACACAAAAACTAGTATGTACTCGGAAGAAAAAAAGAGGAGCTAGAAACATACGCACACGCACTGTACACGGCGGCAAAGACGAAAAAGTATGAGAGCACCTGGACATGATTTCGTAGCTACGAACGGGGTTTGCACTGCATGCTGGGGGACTTGAAAGGGAGAGTAAAAATAGAGATGGCTAGCTGCAGAAGCCGGGTCAAGAGTGAGCCAAGCCAAGCCGACGCCGCAAATTATTATGTTTCTACATTTGAAAATGTCAATTGGGGGTCAAGACGTTCCCCCCAAGAAGAATCGATCAAAAAAAAGCGCCTGTGGGTTCCTGCCAGAGAGGGAGGATCTTGAACTTGAGGCCCGAAGTCGATTCCCACTTCCATTTCTGAGGACTAGGAATACTCATCTAACCATTTGCACTTCCCAAGAGCGATGCGATTGAGTTGGTCCCAATAGAGTACTGTCCAAGTTGAAAAAAAGACAGCAGAAGTGAGTCCGTTGCGCGACAACGAGGGGGAAAAAAAAAAAAAGAGGAATTTAACCTCACCCTCAGAGTGAGCAATGAATCGCCCAAGCAACGGAATCTTCGTTACCCAAACCCCGACTTTTTCTCTCAACCATTCGCCACGGTGTCTACGAAGATCCCTATCCCTGATCGCCTGAATGTCCTCTTTCGAAAAATGACTATAAATCCTAACGATCGTATCGTCTCGGGAGTAAAGAGAACCCGTAACGTTCGAGACGACGGGCCGATTTTTCATTTTGATTTCGGCTCCAAGGTGGGCGAACCCTGCGGGGTTTGTAGAAGAGAGTTTGAGCCGAGGGTTGTCACCTAATTGGGGGAGTCTAAAGCGATTAAGTGATTAATATAAGGGAATGAGTGAAGTTGCGCAAAAAAAAAAACAAGGATAAGCAAAAGAAAAAAAGAAATAAAGACATAAAGAAACACGTACAAAGTAGCAATTGCATCACCGTCATTCGTGACTCGCCACATCGTCTTTAAATGTTCACCGGGCTGTTTGATGATTTGGTTGAATCGAAGAGAGGTCTCACGATCTCCGCAAACAGGAGCCGCAAAGAGGTACGCATCCCGGATGATTATGGGTGATCCTTCGAAATCGGAAGGGGAGTTGAGCGCTCGAGCATAAACGAGCGTAGCGAGGGCGCATCCGACTGAAACAGGGATATATATCAAGGATAGAGAAAGAGAGGGAAAATGACTCACGAGAATGACCCGTAAACCAAACGTTGATCTTCTCCCCTTGGTCTAAATCCCTCGCCAAATAGTTCGCCAAAGCTTTCAACGCAAACCTGATCGTTTCATAAGGTCTCATTCCACCCACGACGTCCTCTTCAACCTCCCGTAAATCCTCCGGGAAGATCCTCTCCTTGAACCCTTTCACCGCTTGACTGAATCCAGGTAAGAAATCGTCGACGGGTACGAGCGTCGTACTTAGATCCGATACCCAATCTGCGTACTCGGTGAGTCCGGTTCCTTTGAAGGTGACGGCTATCCAGTTGCCTTTTGGTTCCCAGAAGAAAGAGCAGAAGGCCTGGAGGATTATATATGGGGGGGCCAGAAAAGGGGGGGTTGAAGCGGTATTGAGTGAGTGCCAGAGAGGGTTGATTAGAAAGCGAGTTAGTTTTTAGTTGATCACCGGGGGAAAAGAAAAAGGCGTTGAAGGGAAAGAATGTCCACTTACGCTTTGACTCGTATTCAACTCGCTGACAGGCTCATACGCCACTCCGATTCTCCTACAGAACCTTCTAATCACATCCTCCCCTTTCGCAATCTTACCAAATCTCATTCTCTTCTCCATCGACGACGACGAGGACCGTCTATCATCCTCGTCGCCCTCATCGTCCTCATCGTCCTCACCCTCCACATCCCCAGTATGAATACGACTCCCTTTCCTCGAGATCTTATCGAACGTTCGCAACTGCATGAACGACTCTCGAATGCGCTCCTCCTGGGTATTATCGAATAAAGACTTGACCAACTCTCCAGGTTTCGCTCTCGTCATAGTAGTCACGCCATCGAAGTGTTGAACTACAGGTTTTTCTTCTCGTTGTTGTTGCGACGACGAGGGAGCCCCGAAGGAGCGAGAATCAGGAGTTCTCAATCCGGTCAAAGTCACATTCCCCCTCTCGAGTTCCTTACTAGCCCACCTCGTAGCGGTCTCCACTCTTCCTCTCCCACTCCGGCTCGTCAAACTCCCCCCCGACCCTTTCAAATGACCACCTGAACGTGAATGCTTCTCCACTTCATCCAAAACGTTATAGAGAGCATGAGACTCCCTCTCATACACGACGCAGGAAAATTGAAGGAGTAACTTGGCGATGTCAAGGTTTAGCTCCCTCACCGTCAATCCTCCATCTCCATCACCATCTCCTCCACTTTCGCTTCCACCACCAGTACGACTCAACGCAACTTTCCCAATTTCCGCCTCCTTTTTCGTCAACACCTCGAACAATCTCGGATTGCCAGAATTCGCCAATCCTAATCCATTTGCGTACTTGTTCGACCATATCGTGTAGAGGGTTTCGACCAAGGGGAGGTTCCAGATTTGACACCAGATGAGACCTAAGAAGAGGATTACGGACGTTAGGAGGGCGAAGGCGATCGTTAGGAGGAGGTCGGCGAGGGCTGTTTTTTTTTTTTTGGGTGTGTGTGTGTGTGTGTGTGTGAAGGGGGAGCGAAGGTAGATAGAAGTGGGGGGAGAGGGTCGTTAGCAAACTGCACGTATTTCAAAACAGCGAAAATGGTTATAGTGTTAACTCACGGACTTCCATCGTTGTAGCTAAAATATTAGACCACGTCACATAAAGGTACTTCAAGTAAGCTTCCAGAGGGACCCATATCGCACCCAACGTCGTTTCTAGAAATACAAATATAAATACTTGGTTTGGACGGAGGAACGGTTTTGAGGAAGGAAAAGACTTACGTCCTCTTCTATGATGTGGTTTGGTACCCCTTCTCGAGTGACCCATCGCTACAAGTTCATCGAAACGAAGGGAAGCCAATTTGTCATTGATGAGCCCTTCTCTCTCTTGTCCACCATCGTCCCCGGGGGCTCCCGGAGCAGGAGCAGGAGGAGCATTCAACCACTCATCCATCTCATTAGGAGGATGAGAATGATGAGGACCATGAGGGAACGAGTTAGGTTTGGGCAATAAGGTAACGGGTGATTCTTGGAGTTGGGAGTTTGTGACGGCCGGAGTTGAAGATGTGGATGAAGGGTCGTATTCGGGAGTAGTTTGGAGTTTATGATTTTGTTGCTGAGGTCGAGGTTGAGGTCGAGTCTGATGGGGTTTAGGGGTTGTTGAGCGGAGATCGACATTGATGGTAGGGGTAGTAAAGGTCAACGAAGAGGTAATGTCATTGGTGACTTTGACGGGTGGTGGTACTGTAAGAGACATGGCTACTGGTAGATTCAAAAGTCGAGCGTTCAAGGGTTGGAGGTCCGATGGGTAAGGAGGAAGAGGGGGCGAGGGGGCGATCTGATTTTTAAAGCTGGACACAAGACAAGTGTCACACGCCAAGACTCAAAGATTGAGCGCGCAGACGAGGATGATATAGCGCGTGCGTTTCGAGCTAGCTTGAAATAATAACGTAAGATGTCCAATAATTCGCACTATCGAATCCGACCCAAGGACACTAGAGTGCTTTTCGACCAAAGACAGCAAGGCTGGGGGCGCACGAGAGCAGAGCTAGACAGAGGCGGCAAGTTGAATTTCAATATTAATATCAGACTCAGTGCAAGCTAAGAGGATCGAGCTCCGAAGGGGGGGAACATGCAAAGGAGCTTGTGCAAAACTCCTGTGACTCACTCTTATGTAGGAGGAGAGTAAGTAAGAAGAGGAGATATGTGTATATATATACCATCATCGCGGCAAGTTGCTCCCCGACAAAGAGCGCTCGTGAACCCAAAGTGATAGCCTCAACATGTGGCGAGGACGATTATATATGTTGCGATCTGGCTCCTGTGAAACTATATTTGAACATCTCCGGCCATTCGGCTCCGTGATCAATATCAATTGTTGCATAATCAATTTTATTCATATTTTTACTGATCACGCTTTCCTCCACATAAATTTATCCTTCCAACAAAACAAGTGTGAAAAAGTGGAGGCAGGGAGAAGAAGGGGTGGAACGAGATACGACATTGGAATTGCTCTTGTATTTTGCGTTTATGTATACCCGCAAACGGATGGTTGTAAACCACTGGGGAACTGATAAATCTCAGCAATGATAAATGGAAATTGCCGTCGTTGCACAGGTCTGATTGCTGATGATGGCTCAGTCAATTTGAGCACAATGCACAGGTATATAACGCTTGGAGCCCCTTCAACCAAAAGTTTCAACGTAACGGTTATAGGGGCTGGTGCAAATTCGATCTATGCTATGCGGTGCAAAATTCAAACTCCTGTATCTCTTTGACTCTCTCGCTCGGGATCCAGTATGATTTTTGCAGAATTACTCCCTCGCGGCTCCCACATGCACACCACGGTCCCCATCCTCCGATCCCCCCCCCCGCAGCTCTCCTCCCACATTATGCAATAAACCGAGTTCCTCCCCTGCCTGACCGATGTACCTACGGGAATGCCAACGGGAGACTTGACCCCATTTCATCATTTGCAAGTTCCACGTGAAATCAGCTAGCAACACTAGTACTATGAAGAATTGTTTTCACCGCCCCACCGTTATACTTTGCAAACTCTGCACACTAGCTTACCACCTGGTTACCCCCTCCCTCTTCACAACAGTGACTGCTACCCTCACCAACTAAGTACACTGCCTCGCCAGCCGCAACGCCGGGAATCAATAGGTTGCACAACAGGCTTCGAAAGCATCCCTTCGAGAAGCGCTCGCCGCTTGATGAATTAACGGAAGAATATATATATATCACTTTTGCTTCTACAGCAGAACGAACTAGTTCTCATCCAAGTCGCGCGCGTGAACAAGCTTGCTCTACTAGCGCGCCGCACCGCGTCAAATTAATCAAAACGAAGCTTCTTAATCTATAAGGCTGGCTGTTGGGGATGGTGTCAACAGCAATAATTGTAACTCGAGCCAGCTGGTAACATTGTATTGCCGGTTTTAATGATGGCTACATTAATTGTCGAACTCGCTCAGGCGAGTAGAGTTCATCCTAATTGTTGTGCAGAATAGGTAGAATGGCTTCCGATTGATGACAATGCCACGCTATCTGAAGAGAGCTATAGGGAGCTTGGGCCTTGAAGAGTTGTTTTATCTGGGAAAATCTTCGAGTTATCTTCATCATTAATCGTTGTCATTAGGTCCGTTCAAGTTGCCAGAGTCTTTCCTTGCATCAGTTAGTACATACCACAATATTGTCAGTTGCAGTAATATACAAGATGTCCATCACGCACGCTAAGGTTCTGTGATCATGCCAGAGGGGCATTGTTAACGGAGTTGATTCGAACTTGCAGTTTCTAATTGTGAGTTTCAATCCGTGGGGGCGGGAAGGTATGCGGGGGGACGCCATGGATTCCTTAACGGGTTTCTTAGGTTGAGGAGCAGTAAAGTGCATGAGTACAAGCAATTTGAGCGTGAGTGTGTAGTTTTTTTGGAGCGTGTATAGAGTCTTTGGCAGTTGGATAGTCTGAGAGGTGGCAGGGAGCGGAGTGGAAGTGGAGGCAGAATTATTGTTTCTGGCAGTGGCGTCCGCCCAGTGTGCCCGTCGCCTTGCCACTCAAACGAAGGTACCGTTTCCACCTGTGTTACGCCCTTCTTTTCTTGGCGACCCGATGCCTCCTCGCTGTCCAACTGGGATTGGTTATCCGATGAGTGTATTATTATCGAGGTCAAAAAACTCGACTTGAACAAATAACAACATGATCATACTGGCTCGGGTACATTTACATTACGCTCACCCGATGATACCACCCAGAAACCCACACCATGTATGGATGATCCCCTCATGTACACTCGGTGTAACGAGTCGGGATGGCCGCACTGCCACATACGAGGCCGCGGGGTAACAAAATAGAGTAACAACAACAAGATTTACATCACGCTATCGCGGAAAAGATTGGAACTTGCCAACCCGGCTGCTACGGCTTTCAGCTCAAAGCAGCAGGAGATACTTGGCTCTCCAGTGTGTCGGGCTGGGGGTTTGGTTCGCCGGTTTGTTGGCGTTCCGAGATTGCCTCCAGGGCCGTCGTTTTGTCTGCCTCTTTGTTTGTCTTCGTGCTTACCTCTTCAAAATCCGTGATTCGCATCGTCACGGATTTTGCATGAGCGCGTACGGTCACCAGCTCCTCGTGCCTTCCAAGACCTTCCAATGCATTAGCGACGCAGGAATATGTGAGCTGAAGCTGACTTGCGTAGGGAACAGGGTATTCGGAATGAAGCTGGCGATAGTATGATAATGACTCGTTACCCGTATCAAGCGCGTCTACATAGCGCCCAAGGCTGGAAAATTGAGTTGATAGGGTTTGCAACGCCAAGGCTAAATCGGGAGCATATGACGTCGGATGGGTGACAGATAGCGAACGCCAAAGGGAAATGGATTCTTCAATGAGAGGAAGCCCCTCCGCAGGACGACCAAGGTTGTAGAACGTGCTACTGAGACTACAGAGTGATCGCGCCAAACCTGGGGTGTGATGCTGGAAGAATGGCAACTAGCTGTCGCCAGAGGTGGACACTTTCCTCTACCACCGGCAGCGCCTCGGAATGCCTTTCGAGGCGATTGAGTGTCTCGTTCAGAGCGTTGAGCGATCCAGCTAAGTTTGTAGTGTATGTGGTTGGTCGAAAGGCAACTAGTTGGCGACTGAGTTTGACACATTCTTCAATCGCGAGGAGGGATTCGGAATGCCGTCCGAGCGTGTCAAGGGACTCGTTAAGACATTTGAGTGATGCTATCAATTGGGAAATATATAGGTCTGTCGGTTTAAGTTCAATGTCAACGCCGTGGCGGCAGAGTTTGACACTTTCTTCAATCGCCAGAAGGGCTTCGGAATATTGTCCGAGATTGCGGAGTGTCACGTTAAGGTGACAAAGCGAGCGGGACAACGGTGCACTGTGCAATATCCCTTCAGCAACAACTAGCTGGCGATCGAATTCGACACTTTCTGTGATGGCAACCAGCGCAGCGGCATGCCGTCCGAGATTGGAGAGCGATATGTTAAGCTGCTGGACTGAGATTGCCATGCTGTGAGAGTAATACATAGTCGGATCAACCGCAATTAGCTGACGCCAGATATTAACACTCTCTTCAATGGCCAGGAGCGCGTCGGAGTGCTGTCCAATACTGGAGAAAGACCGGCTAGCGTTGTAGAGCGATAAAGCCAAAACCGGGGTATATGATGTTGGATGAACGGCAATGAGCTGGCGGCACAGTTCAACACTTTCATATTGCACTAGGAGTGCCTCAGAAGGCTGTCCGAATTGGATTAAAGCGTTCCTATAATACCCGAGTACTGCGACCAAATCCTCGTGTATGATGAATGAGGTCGGATAAACAGCAACTAGTTGACGATAGAGTTTGACACTTTCTTCGCATACTGGGATTGCCTCGTAATAGCGTTCAGTGCTAGAGAGCACCCAACCAAATATTCGGAGCGATGAAGCCAAATCGAAGGAGTAGGATGTCGGGTCTATGGCGACAAGCTGACGCAAGAGTTTGACGCCCTCCTCGATCGATGTGAGCGCTTCAGAGTACAGTGAGATGTTCCGGAGCGAACAGGCAAAACCGTGGAGCGACCGAGCTAAATCTAGGTTGTGGGATGTGGGGTAAACGGCGACGAGCTGGCGGCAGATTTTGACACTTTCTTCCGCTGCCCGCAGTGCCTCGGGTTTTCGCCCGACTCTGCAAAGCGATAATCTGAGAGACTCGAGTGATCGTGCCAAATCCGGGGTATGTGATATAGGATCAAGAATGACTAGTTCGCGCCAGAGCTTGACACTTTCTTCGACCGCTGGGAGCTGCCGGGAATCCCATCCGAGTTTGTCGAGTGATGACTGAAGATCCCCGAGAGATGTAGCCAAATCTGGGGCATAGGTTTCTGCGTCCACAGATGCGAGACAACGGCAGAGTGCAACGGAATCACTTGCTAACTCGTGTCCCTCCTGAAACCTGGAGAAAAACTCCAAATTTCTCTTCAAATTGTTGAACACTTTGACCAATTTGTGGATTTCTTCCTTTGAACCCATGTCAACACTCAACTGAAAGAGCATAAAAATGAGAATAGTTAAGAAACGATATTGACGCTTCATACCTTGGCCCACTCAGGGAACGATGATATACTTATGTACCCTTCCGTTCTCACACAGACTTCCACCCAACGAGTTACTTGCTGACCGAGAAATATGCGAACTGCTACGTTGAGCAGTTCCAGCGCGTCTGGAACTTGATTGAGGTGATATACAATATGCCGACATCCGTAATGGAGCTGTTCAGACAGCATTGCCTGAGGAATGGGTGGCAGCTCCTCCTTCTCCCGCAAATATTTAACCAGGCCCAAGGCCTCCACAGAGGGTAAATCTTCATTCAAAATTTCGATGCAGCGCATGGCCATCCTCGCATTCTCCCTCCTCGCATCCACCACAAAATGATGGAGTGTGTGTGATTGCGCATTGACTCGGTCCATGAGGAAGTCACGGAACGAGTGATGTAGGATACGAATCGGCGTGTGAGGGTCCTGAACCCCTGATAGGAGGGGTGCAAGTTCGGCTAATGTGTGCTCGACAGATGACTCCAGTTGTAATGACAGAATGGCAGTCCAAGCTGCAATAGATAGTGGCTGCTGTGCGATCAAGATGGTTCCTATCACAATTGGGAAGTCGTGAATAAAATCTTCGTCTTTCCAATTACACTTCTCCAAGATGCTCGTATACAACGCATCCATCATCTCTTCAGCAGAAGCCTTCGATCGGTTCGTGCCAGTATCAAGCAGTTTCTCCAGCATCCTCATGGGAGCACCACTTGCCATCTTCATGTAACGGAAAACGGTGCTAACCCAAATGAACAAGCCACCCGCTCGTTCCAGTATAGATTGTACCATTTCATCCTCTTCCTTGAGTTTGGGCTTCAAACTAGGATGCACATCCTTCAGCTCGCGCAGTTGCGTACGAATGTAGATAGCGCAGTCTCGTATGTTAGCATCATCCGAGAGACTGATGCCGAGGCGATCGATAGGGAATTCAAGTGAGAGAAAACGATCGACGAGATCAAATTGCCTCGAGGTGACAAAGAATTTGATGTTGGATGGTAATTTAGGTACTTCTTTCCGAAGTATATCGGCAAGACGCGGAAATGCTTCCTTGTCGCATTCGTCCAATGCATCGATGACGACTACCAGGGGTCGATTGGAGGATAGCGGCCTCAGGTGGAGAGGTTGAGCGATCAATTTCTTGAATTGCATCGTGAACGGAGCAGTTGTGAGAGTCGGATCTTTCTGAAGAATGGATGTGATGAGGGACCGGTACGCAGGATAGTGAGCCGCTAGAGATCGGGCCATGCCACTGAACATATTGTCTGGACGGGATTGCTCACCCGCCTTGAAGAAGAAAGTCGATAATAATATACCCTCTCCAGCGCACTCCTCCGCGATGGAATGGGAAATGGACGTCTTTCCTGCACCAGCCACAGCAGTCAGAAGCATTACACGTTTCTCGCTAGCCTCCGTGTTGCGACACCAGCCCATGATACAGTTGAGGAGATCTGTTCTAGTTCCGGGAAGGCACACCTCAGTTGAATCGTGGTGGGCAACGATAGGGTATCGGAGTTGGCTGAGAACCGAGGAACTCTCCACCTCACGAGTGACATTTGCCATGACACCAATTGTCAAGTTGGTCTTCACCTGCATGATCGCAGCGACAACATTAGAACGTCCGCATAAATTCAACAGTGATCAAGCACCATTACCTGAAATGTTGTCAGAGCCTCGTTGAAATCTCTCCTCAGGTCGTCAATCTTGCCTGGGTCCTTCATATGAAAAAAGAAGTTGACGACAGCAGACCGTCTTTCTCTCTTTCCACGTAGTTGTTCGATTTCGGTTTGAATGCGCTTCAACGCCCTATAAAACGCCCATGTTACAGACTGCCAGTCTGTATGTAGAAAATATTGCCTACTCGCTCATATTTGTAATGCTATCCATCCACGGCTTTGCCTCTTCGCCCGACGCATCATATGAGTCGATGGCTGCAACCACACCAGCCATGGTGTCGACGATGTGTTTTCCAAATTTCTCCCATTGTTCCTTATTCTCTTTGAACTTCTGTACAGTACTGATTGTCAGCTTTAGTTCCCGACGCAGTATAAACCGTTACCAACGTTGACCTCTTCGAAGATAAACAGTGCGATACCGGCGGCAGACTTTAGAGGAGGGAACGCACCGGAAGCAGCATTGATGGCTGAGAGAATTGGGATGGCGCCGTGACCCCCTGCGGCAAGGAGACCGCCAGCCTTTTGCTTCATTGACATGGCAGATGATGAGCGAATCTGTGGATGGGGAGCAAAGCGTAAACGATTGGATGCACACTATAAATCCTCGAGCAAAGACTTCCCAGTGCAGGTTCGTCCGAGATGCATCAATGGAAGACCGAGCAACATTGTTTGTGCAGACGCTGAACCGCATGGCATTGGCGCTGGTGGCTGAACTGCGGCCTGATGGTGGCTTGCTCTTCTCTGTCCCCCTCAAGCCCCAACCCTACTAGGGTCCCTACACGGCGAAGTATCATTCAACAGACATCCCACCTCCGATACTGATGAACGGGCAGAACCCGCGACAGGAGAAAAACTACCGCGCCTCGAACAAGTGGAGAAATTATTCAGAAAATAGTGTCGCGTTTGCTGGGGGTATTCCCTCAGCCATGTCAGTAGGCACCACTCAGACACTGCCACTCAGCATATACGCCCACTTGAGCAAGCGCTTGGGCTTGGGCTGTTGAGTAGATAAATTTATAGCGTTTTTTTTGAGGCGTTTCCACACCGCAAACAGGGATTCAAGTGATATCGACAGCTTGTCAAGGGTTCAGTTAATTTACATCCTTGTGAACCTCTAAGTCCATATTCACATCAGTCTTCTGATCTTCAGCCTCGAAGCGTTCTGTAGGTGCAAATGTGCTGGCAAACTCCGAAATCCAAAATTCGCAGGCCCAAAACTCAGACGATTCAACGCGCGCCCAAGGAGGCTATTCAGATAGTGGAGCGATGCGGAATTTTTTGGATTACCAATTTTTACACTGATGACTAAATAATATTGAGGTTTCGTCACGAAAACTGGTACATATGGCTCTAGAGATCATGAGATCATTCTCCGAAGTCCCGCAACCCTATGCAGGTGACCAGCTTTTCTTTACGCAACTCCGGAGTTGATCCCCGGACATCAATCCATTGCACTTACATAAACAAACAACAACAACAACAACAACATATTTCGGCTAAACTGGAACATCTCTGACATGGTACATTACGCTGTCGCCTCATGTCCGTTTCTGGGAAAGATTGGGACTTGCCATACTGGCTGCTACAGCTTTCCGCTCAAAGCAGCAGGGGATAGTTGGCTCTCCAGAGTGTCAGGCTGGGGGTTTGGTTCGCCAGTTTGTTGGTGTTCTCCAGGACCGCTGATTTGTCTGCCTTGTTGTTTGCCTTCGCGCCTGCCTCTTCAAAATCCGTGATTCGCATTGTCACGGATTTTGCATGAGCGCGTACGGTCACCAGCTCCTCGTGCCTTCCAAGACCTTCCAATGCATCAGCGACGCGGGAATATGTGAGCTGAAGCTGACTTGCGTAGGGAACAGGGTATTCGGAATGAAGCTGGCGATAGTATGATAATGATTCGTTACCCGTATCAAGCGCGTCTACATAGCACCCAAGGCTGGAAAATTGAGTTGATAGGGTTTCCAATGCCAAAGCTAAATCGGGAGCATATGACGTCGGATGGGTGACAGATAGCGAACGCCAAAGGGAAATGGATTCCTCAACGAGAGGAAGCGCTTCCGCAGGACGACCAAGGTTGTAGAACGTGCTGCTGAGACTGCGGAGTGATCGCGCCAAACCTGGGGTGTGTGATGCTGGAAGAATGGCAACTAGCTGTCGCCAGAGGTGGACACTTTCCTCTACTACCGGCAGCGCCTCGGAATGCCTTTCGAGGCGATTGAGTGTCTCGTTCAGAGCGTTGAGCGATCCAGCCAAGTCTGGAGTATATGTGGTCGGTCGAAAGGCAACTAGTTGACGACCGAGTTTGACGCATTCTTCAATCGCGGGGAGCGACTCGGAATGCCGTCCGAGCGTGTCAAGGGACTCGTTAAGACATTTGAGTGATGCCATCAAATATGAGATATTTGAATCTGTTGGTTTGATTTCAATATCCATATTGTGGCGGCAGAGTTTGACACTTTCTTCAATCGCCGGAAGGGCTTCGGAATATCGTCCGAGATTGCGGAGTGTCGCGTTAAGATCACGAAGCGAGTGAGACAACGCTCCCGTGTACAATGTCCCTCCAGTGGCGACTAGCTGGCGATAAAATTTCACACTTTCTGTGATGGCAACGAGGGCAGCGGCATGCCGTCCGAGATTGGAGAGTGACTCGTTCAGCTGCAGGAGTGAAAATGCAATAGTGGAGGTGTGATATGTAGTCGGATCAACCGCAACCAGCTGATGCAAGAGATTAACAGTTTCTTCAATGGCCGGGAGCGCGTCGGAGTGTTGTCCAATACTGGAGAAAGACCGGCTAGCGAGGTAGAGCGATTCAACCAAAACCGGGGTGTATGATGCTGGATGAACGGCAACGAGCCGGCGGCACAGTTCAACACTTTCATATTGTACCAGGAGCGCCTCAGAAGGCTGTCCGAATCGGATTAAAGCGTCCCCATAATTTCTGAGTACTGAAATCAAGTCCTCGTGTATGATGAATGAAGTCGGATAAACGGCAACTAGTTGGCGATAGAGTTTGACACTTTCTTCGTGTACTGGGATTGCCTCGTAATGACGTTCATTGCAGGAGAGCACCCAGCCAAATACTCGGAGCGATGAAGCCAAATCGAAGGAGTATGATGTCGGGTCTATGGCGACAAGCTGACGCAAGAGTTTGACGCTCTCCTCGATCAATGTCAGCGCTTCAGAGAACAGTGAGATGCTCCGGAGCGAACAGGCAAAACCGTGGAGCGACCGAGCTAAATCTAGATTGTGGGATGTTGGGCAAACGGCGACGAGCTGGCGGCAGATTTTGACGCTTTCTTCCGCTGCCCGCAGTGCGTCGGAACTCCGCCCGACTCTGCAAAACGACAATCTGAGAGACTCGAGTGATCGAGCCAAATTCGGGGTATGTGATATAGGATCAAGAATAACTAGTTCGCGCCAGAGCTTGACACTTTCTTCGACCGCTGGGAGCTGCCGGGAATCCCATCCGAGTTTGTCGAGTGATGACTGAAGATCCCCGAGAGATGTAGCTAAATCTGGGGCATAGGTTTCTGCGTCCACAGATGCGAGACAACGGCAGAGTGCAAGGGAATCACTTGCTAACTCGTGTCCCTCCTGAAACCTGGAGAAAAAATCCAAATTCCTCCTCAAATTGTTGAACACTTTGACCAATTTGTGGACTTCTTTCTTTGAGCACATGTCAACACTCAACTGAAAGAGCATAAAAATGAGAATGGTTAAGAAACGATATTGACGTTTCATACCTTGGCCCACTCAGGGAACGATGATATACTGATGTACCCTTCCGTTCTCACACAGACTTCCACCCAACGAGTTATTTGCTGACTGAGAAATATGCGAACTTCTACGTTGAGCAGTTCCAGCACGTCTGGAACTTGATTGAGGTGATATACAATATGCCGACATCCGTAATGGAGCTGTTCAGACAGCATTGCCTGAGGAATGGGTGGCAGCTTCTTCTTCTCCGGCAAGTCGTTAACCAGGCCCAAGGCCTCCACAGAGGGTAGATCTTCATTCAAGATTTCGATGCAGCGCATGGCCATCCTCGCATTCTCCCTCCTCGCATCCACCACAAAATGGAGTGTGTGTGATTGTGCATTGACTCGGTCCATGAGGAAGTCACGGAACGAGTGATGTAGGATACGAATCGGCGTGTGAGGGTCCTGAACCCCTGATAGGAGGGGTGCAAGTTCGGCTAATGTGTGCTCAACAGGAGACTCCAATTGTAATGACAGAATGGCAGTCCAAGCCGCAATAGATAGTGGCTGTTGGGCGATCAAGATGGTTCCTATCACAATTGGGAAGTCGTGAGTAAAATCTTCGTCTTTCCAATTACACTTCTCCAAGATGCTCGTATACAACGCATCCATCATCTCTTCAGCGGAAGCTTTCGATCGGTTCGTACCAGTATCAAGCAGTTTCTCCAGCATCCTCATGGGAGCACCACTTGCCATCTTCATGTAACGGAAAACGGTGCTAACCCAAATAAACAAGCCACCCGCTCGTTCTAGTATCGATTGTACCATTTCATCCTCTTCCTTGAGTTTGGGCTTCAAACTAGGATGCACATCCTTCAGTTCGCGCAGTTGCGTACGAATGTAGACAGCACAGTCCCGTATGTTAGCATCATCCGAGAGATTGATGCCGAGGCGATCGATAGGGAATTCAAGTGAGAGAAAACGATCGACGAGATCAAATTGCCTCGAGGTGACAAAGAATTTGATGTTGGATGGTAATCTAGGTACGTCTTTCCGAAGTATATTGGCAAGACGCGGGAACGCTTCCTTGTCGCATTCGTCCAATGCATCAATGACGACTACCATGGGTCGATCGGAGGATAGTGGCCTCAGGTAGAGAGGTTCAGCGACCAATTTCTTGAATTGCATCGTGAACGGAGCAGTTGTGAGAGTCGGATCTTTCTGAAGAATGGATGTGATGAGGGACCGGTACGCAGGATCGTGAGCCGCTAGAGATCTGGCCATGCCACTGAACATATTGTCTGGACGGGATTGCTCACCCGCCTTGAAGAAGAAAGTCGATAATAATATACCCTCTCCAGCGCACTCCTCCGCGATGGAATGGGAAATGGACGTCTTGCCTGCACCGGCCACAGCAGTCAGAAGCACTACACGTTTCTCGCTATCCTCCGTGTTGCGACACCAGCCCATGATACAGTTGAGGAGATCTGTTCTGGTTCCGGGAAGACACACCTCAGTTGAATCGTGGTGGGCAACGATAGGGTATCGGAGTTGGCTGAGAACCGAGGAACTCTCCACCTCACGAGTGACATTTGCCATGACACCAATTGTCAAGTTGGTCTTCACCTGCATGATCGCAGCGACAACATTAGAACGTCCGCATAAATTCAACAGTGATCAAGCACCATTACCTGAAATGTTGTCAGAGCCTCGTTGAACTCTCTCCTCAGGTCATCAATCTTTCCTGGGTCCTTCATATGGAAAAAGAAGTTGACGACAGCAGACCGTCTTTCTCTCTTTCCACGTAGTTTTTCGATTTCGGTTTGAATGCGCTTCAACGCCCTACAAGACGCCCATGTTACAGACTGGCAGTCTGTATGTAGAAAATACTGCCTACTCGCTCATATTTGTAATGCTTTCCATCCACGGCTTTGCCTCTTCGCCCGACGCATCATACGAGTCGATGGCTGCAACCACATCAGCCATGGTGTCGACGATGTGTTTTCCAAATTTCTCCCATTGTTCCTTATTCTCTTTGAACTTCTGTACAGTACTGATTGTCAGCTTTAGTTCCTGACGTAGTATAAACTGTTACCAACGTTGACCTCTTCGAAGATAAATAGTGCGATACCGGCGGCGGACTTTAGAGGAGGGAACGCACCGGAAGCAGCATTGATGGCTGAGAGAATTGGAATGGCGCTGTGACCCCCTGCGGCAAGGAGACCGTCAGTCTTTTGCTTCATTGACATGGCGGAGCGAATCTGTGGATGGGGAGCAAAGCGTGAACGATTGGATGCGCACTATAAATCCTCGAGCAAAGACTTCCCAGTGCGGGGTTCGTCCGAGACGCATCAATGGATGACCGAACAACATTGTTTGAGCAACGCTGTTGGCGCTGGTGGCTGAACTGTTGCCTGGTGGCTTGTTTCCCTCACGCCTCAAGCCTATTAGGGTTCCTACGCAGCGAAGCTCCATTCAAGACAGACATCCCGCCTCCGATACCGATGATTTTCGGGCAGAACCTGAAAAACAAAACGCTGCGGCTCAAACCAAGTGGAGCAATTAGAAAATGGTGTCGCGTTTGCTTGTGGCGTTCCCTAGGCAGGATCCCAGCCTCTACTAAAGTGGTGTTCCCTCAGTCATGTCAGTGGGTACTACTCAGACACTACCACTCACTATAAGTATACGCCAAGCGCTTGGGCTTGGGCTGTTAGATAACTTTATAGCGTTTTCTTAAGGCGTTTTCACGCCGCAAACACGAATTCGAATGATATCAACGGCTTGTTAAGAGTTCAGTTAATTTGCATCCTTGTGAACCTCCTTCTAAGTCCCACGTCAGTCTGATCTTCAGCCTACTAGTAAACACGAAGCGTTCTGTATTCGTTGAGAGGCGGACGGATAGCCCGCAAACCGGAGAAGCAATGTTGATGCCGGTGCCCTGATGCCGATGATTTTGTTGACGAACTCCGAAATTCAAATTAAATTCGCACTTTATCTTTTGTCTCATTTCTCTCTCAAAACTCGATCACTTTTGGCGATTCAACGTGCGTTGGAAAGTGCCCAAGTAGGGCGTTAAGCCATTCAGATAGCGGAGCGTCGGATTTGAGAAAAACTTTAATTTTACACAGATGACTAAATAGTATGTATTGAGGTTTCGTCACGAAAACCGGTACATATGGCTCTAGAGATTATACTCCGAAGCTCAGATGCCCCCACAACTCCCGGGTTGATCCCAAATCCTTTACAGGCATCAATCCATCTAAGTGCCTTGCACTTAATGCATGGAATAGTCTCAATAGCCTCGCAAACTGCACAGGATCCTTGATGTAGCTGTCAATGAGGAAAGGCGTTTATGAGTGGATGTTCTCCCTTTGGTGGCTGTAAGCAATTGCAAACCACCTACTAGATACTATTTCACTTACATCATACTGTACACATCACGCTAACCCGTGCAGACCTTTGTCTAAGGCTCTGAAGGAGGTGTGGGCTTCGAGTTTGCCAGCGATTAAACCTGGGCGTTTTCCACATTGTGAGGGCTGTCCAACGTGCGTGCCTTGTGCAAGGGCTTATCGCCTCAATAGGAGGGCTTTGCAATGGTGCTGCGAGGGTCGGGCGGACTTCTTCTTGAGCCAAACTAGGTGAGCCGCTCTGTGCTCATACCCTGTTAAAGCACCAACTCAGCAGGCTTCGGCTCGGTCGGGATGAAGATTACATTGTCAGCGCAAACATAGAACGCCTTCCTACCATAATGGCCCAGCATAATTGATATCTAACTGCTAACAACAATGTTAACTAGACTAGTCAGTCATAGACGTAGCGCTTGGGCGGCTACACTTGTCCCTGTTAGGATTGGCAGTCCAATGCCGATGGTGCCGGTAGTCTGTTGGCAATCGGTGCAGTACTGCCGGTGTGGTGAGATCGAGACACATGATATAAGGTTGTTTGTCTCAATTTGTGTGGCGCATGACGACCGGACGTCTGTTTATCCTTGCCCAGGGTATTTGAGGTGCTTGTTAGCGGAGGAGCGCGGTATATTTCGCATGGTTACCGCGCTCAGGTATCTCCCGCACTGCTGATAGTAGTTCTATATGGGTGAGACTATCGATGTCATTATTGCCGTGCAACTTACCTCGTATATATAGGATTGATGGCGCACGGCCGATTCTCAGAGGGGTCGGAGATCGATCTGATTAAGTAAGAAAGATGTGGGAGCTAAGTATCGTGGCTTGTCTCCAACAAACAAGCCCCTGGTTCTAACTCGTGTATGTCGGCATGGATCATCTCCCCAAGCAGCATCCCCTAGTCAACCCAAACGGTGCATCTGTGCAATGCATGAGGGCTGGTCCGTTTGCACATTGTATTATCACGCATTCCCCTCCGAACGGGCAATGCCGGCTGCACTCTAGCGGAGATTTGGCCTCAAATCGCAGTGACTGCTTTTACAGGCAATAGATGCACACACTTGGATGCTTAATCTGTGAACTGGATGAACTTGACCCCCATCGACAGGCAACCGTGAATTGGGGGTTTCGATGTGATTGCAGCCCACTTGCCCCCATCCACCGTTCCCTCTGCATCTCGTGTGCGGATCGAATGAACACACGGATAAGAAGTTGACCAGGCTGACACCGTCCTACGTATGGCTAGTGCGAAGGAAACTGCCGAATCTGCAGAAAACACATCCATTCGCCGTTCCGCCGAGCAGGACATTGAACTCGCCTAAGGCGTTTGCACTTTGCACTACTGGGCATCTAGTGAAAGGTAGAAGTTTCTTCCTCGCATCAATTATGTTATCACGCCGCGTAACACTGGTTAGGATTTCCTGGAGCATGGAAGCATCGATGATTTTAGAGCCTCCAAATCGGACTGGAGGGGATTGCACTTGGTTGCAGATTACTATTTTGGTCCCCGAAAAAAAAAACACACGCTCTGGCTGTCGGCTGCGATCACAATAATGCACATATACGTCCGTGATATTCCGCCTTGTCGGGGAATATTATTTTTCATAGTCAGACATGATACTGGAATCGCCTATATAGCCTCCTGAGGTTGTGCTCTTCCTCCCTCCTTGTCGCATATGCCCAAGAGACTGAGGTTAGCACTTCCTGCTTAACGTTGACTAGAGCATATATATTTACTCAAGTCATGCACGCTCCCTGCCCATAACAGTAACACAATGCGATTCTGGAATCTCTTCGGCCCAATCGCTTTGCTCCCCATCGCCGCAGCTGATTTCCTCGTTGGCACAGTTGATATTTTCCCTCCTGAAACCTCGAGCTATTTTCAGGGAGGTGCGGTTAATGTGTCCGACAGTGAGCCAAAACGTAAAATAAAAGTGTTGTTCTTGGTTAACATTTTCTCAACAGACAATTGCAAAGCTGCCGCAACCACGTACGTCGGCGCGTTCGTTTATGGGGCGGACATCATGCAGTTCAAGCTTTGCGAGTCTACAGTTAAGATATTTAATAGTTCATTATGGGTGCTCGTTCTGGACGAAACAGAACTAATTATAAACGGAACATGCACTCAAATCCAAAAGCCCATAGACGACGGGCCTTGCTTCACTGATAAATGGTCGCAGGTTTCGGCCACGTGGACTGCTGAATTGCTCTGCTCATCGGTGGTGTGCCTAACGGGGGAGTTGGACTAATCAATGACACACTTATCCACATCGTGCAGATGATTGTCATCTGCCTCGCGCTGTACAATCGGATCTGCGTTACCGCGGTCAATAATGTATGTCCTGCCATCCGCCCAACAACGGAGTGAACAGAGGCTGCCCATGCATAAGTGGACGAAGATGACAATAAGATTCGGGAGTGTCTAAGTGTGTCTAAAGTGGGGGGACACTCGAACTCAACTCCTGTCGACGAAGGAACTCCCCAGTTCCGATTAAGAGGGAGATAACTTCCAATTCGAAAGGAATGGTGGTGTGTGTATGTTGCATAATGAGGAGCTGCCTCCAACCAGTGCGTGCGTGCGCACTGCAGTACCAACTACTATTAGCATGATGAGTCTTCCCCCAAATTTCCAACGAGGCGTGGGATCTCTTCGGTAGGGTTTCACTGAGATATAGAGTGACATGGAGACGCCAGGGAAACTTTCAAAAGCGACATGATATTTCACCACGCTTGAAGTACACGAGTAGCATTGAAGAGTTGGGGGCGAGATTGGCCATCACACGAAAGTGAACGACGTCAAGACACGCATACCCCTGAGGTACAGCGAAGGGTCTTCGGTACTCTAACAGGTCATTTTCAATCATGTGGATCTTGTTCGTTACCCCGCGGTCGCGTGACGACGCACCATGCAGTGCGGCTCCCCTATTGTAATCTGCATAAAAGGGGTCATCAGGACGGGAATGAAAGGGGGTGGCGTCGGGTTAGCATATAGTCCTCGGGGTTGTGGCATCGGGGGTAGGTGTCATTCAATCATCTTGAATAAGAGCTGGGAGAATGGAAATAATCGCTAATCACAATATTCGAGATAGATGCCAAGGGAGTTCCATTCCCTAGCTTATTTGCCAAGGAATACTTACTGTCAGGGAACCAATGCTTGGTTCTCGCCCGGCCGTTCAACTTACAATTGCTATCCTTAGCTAGCGTCAGCGATTGCATACAAATAGATAATCGGGATTCTATGTAAGAATCCGTTGCTCAGATCTAGCACATGCCAAGATGTACGTCGGGCGCGTTTAGCGGAGTTGTCCGAATGATATTGTAATACTGTAATACGCGCGTTGCCATCCACACTCCTGAGATTACTATTTGGGTACGCACCGGAATGCGCGCTCCGACTGTACAGTCGGCTGCGATCGCTCTGCTCCCCATCGTCACAGCTGATTTCAATATCTCTTTTTACGCTGACGCGCTCACCGAACCTGAAGGGCATGCGCTCCCTTCGCACATTGGCGGGCCGAAACGTAATATAAAAACATCCCTCTTAGCTTAAGTAAGAAAGACCACTAATGAATCATCCTTTTTTCGAACTGGTTCGCAAAATTTTGCCTCTGAACCGAACCGAACCGAACCACGGTACCCCTACCCGGGCAGTGGTAACGATATGTCTGTAGTATACGTGAACTGAGGAAAGACATAGAAAGGTAACACGACCTACTCTCATTCCTCCCACTGGATGCACTTTCATCTTGCGAGGATTTACTGGTCACGGACAGACAATCGTTGTCAGCTTATAGGCCATGCCTCATCAACCTGCAAACTACGAGCCCACCCCCCCAAACCTGTTACTGAGAACCATATGCACCTGTATACCTCGCACACCATCTCTGGCAAGCGGTACTGGCAACTAACCGCCGTTGTTTGTCTACTTCACACACGCACGCACACACGCGCACGGGCCTCACCCTTGTTTGGATCTTCCAATGTTCTGTCACCAACTTGACTGCTCGATCAAACATTGTCTCTATCTACATACTCCCTCCTAACCATCCCTCCACCTCGTACTTGTGGTCTGTTGCAAAAGTGTCTTACGCGCTTCAGCGGCGCGACCATATCACCCTCGCTCGCACTTTTTGCGAACTCAAATTCTTCACCACCACCATCACGACACGCCACTCTACTCTTCTTTCTAGTTGTACACGTGTGCCATGCTACAACTAGGGGTGCTAACGTTCGCGAGCCAGAGCTCTCACTCCGCAAGCGCCAATTGGGAACCACCTAAATCCATTGGGGATATGAATACCTTTCATTGAAACCTTTCAGTGGTCGTGGGCTGAGATGGCGGGTTAGGGTGAGTGAACATACGGGGAAGAATGGAAGGGATGCATTCCATCAGGTATGTGGGGAGGTTTCTTTTTCGCGCTTCCCGAGTCCTTTGGCTGCCGTTATGTTTCCAGGGACTGCTTTTTTGATTACCTCCCCTCAGACCGGCCCATGTCGTTTTGTGTCATCTAGTTGTGGCAAACGGGGATCAATTATGCCCAAGAGAAAGAGTATGCTCCGATACCGCATCTCTGCGTTCCAGCGCTGATATAGCATCCTCAAGATATTGCAGATATAATCCTGACCTTGCCTCTGCGACATCTCTGATGACTGTCGGTCGCGTGAATCAATCCAACATTGAAATCGAATGTTGCACAAGAGTATGGTCACTCCATTATATATTCCCTCCACCAATATCCCCTTGGACGGTTATCGTTCTGTCAATCACACATCTCTCAACCATCGATCCCTGAGTAGGATGGGTCATCGATATCGGCGAGAATGATTTGCCCTCATCTCTGTTCATCGAAGTGGGTGTCAAATCATATGTCATCGATTCAAAGGATTGGATGGTGGTATGTCGCCGATCACTCCTTGTTCGAGTCAAAATTGCTCACAGAATACACATTCCCTTAGCATATGTTCACCCAACACCAATTGTAACTCGAACCAGCCGCCATCAGGCTATGTATTACCGGTCAAACGGTTTCAATGACGGGAAAAGGAGGGACGTAAGGGGACAATGACCGACTTTTCCTCAGCTTGTAGTAAAAGTACGTAGGTGGGGGGGTGGACAGGCCAGACGGTGGTCTTTTCGGTCCCCCTTCCACTATTTTATAGGATATGTCATCAATTCCTTCCTATGCCATAATGGCTTAGCATAATTGATATATTTATAAAGATAGGAATGAGCAACGTTTGAGTTTTTGTTCTAAGAGATCCTGGGTGAGATGATATGATACTAGGCAGGTTACCAACCTCTATTGAATGATACTATATTGTCGGGGGGAGTGCAGAGTAGTTGTTGAAAGGCACAGAGAAGATAGGGAGGGTTGCGCGCATTGCACGAAATCCTTGCTACCATCTGGCAATTGGGAAGATCGAAAACGATCGTCGCGATAATCAACACTCCTCATACCACTGGATCTCGATCTCGGCGAAAGCAATGTTGAGGACGTGACGAATTGATAGATATGACGAGAGACTGTGGCAATCCGGTGCTGTTCAATGGTATTAAGATGATTGCAAGGTGGAAAGAACGGGCGCTGCCAATGTTGCGGGGGATGGGGGCAGGGAGGCGAAGGATGATCAACTCAGTCCCACCGTGACAGAAGCAGACAATCGGATTCCTCAACTTCTGTACAACGGAAGCGTTTCGGCCGGACTTCTTAACCATACTGGTGTCGGACTCGGACTCCTTACCGTTTGACTAGCTGGAGCGGTCCATCCTGACATGGACATCGAGCTGGATTCGGGTGCGAGGTACGATCGGCCCTCCCAGGACGCCGCATAAGGTGGATTGTTATTAAACACTGGGGAAGGTGGGGCACGAGCTTCGACAATGATATCGTCGGCATGACCAGCATGCCCCAGTACAGACACGGGGGGTTGGGGGTCGAATTTAGAGAACGGAGCCACTCCTGCTTTTGAACGATATTTCAATAATTTCGGTTAGTCTCATCAGTCGGTCGGTGTCAAGATGAAATTCGTACTATTTGTTGCCGCCCTCTCCCTGTGAGCCTGAGATGGCGTTCTTTTCTGGGATCGGCGGTATAATACGTATGCTGCAATGACGGCCAATGAAACGGCAAAGAGTCCGCCTATCACACTTCCCGCAATGGTTCCTGCGTTGGTAATGGAAGGTCGCGCTGTCGAACGAGTGCCCGGCGGTGGCGGAGGTTGGGCATGAGGTGGAGGTGGACCAGGCTGGCTGGGTTCTGCAGGCGCGGTCCAAACCTCTGCATAGTCAATAGAAAGGATATTTGGATCGCTAGGACTAGTGGCCTCATTGGAAACGATAATGTTGGTTGAAGGTGATGATCCGTCGTTCAGCCCTTCAAAAAGGCACAGCATTTGTTGATTTGTTGGGTTAGCGTACATCCCTCCATTCCCAATGATTGTTCGGGGCCCTTCACCCCGCGTCTTGTTCACGACGCACTTGTATGGCCCATGGCCTGGCCCGAGTTTTCCGTAAATTGCAACTAAATCTGCGGTGGATGGGACGATGAGAGAGGTCAGAGCGTTGGGCTTTTGGGCTGATGATAGCGTGGTATTGTATGCCTCCGGTTCTAGATATCCAATGGTCCACGAAGTCGGCTCAGGGAAGTACCGGAATGCAGAGGTGGCATCGGTGTTATTAGAGTAGGTCGTATCATCAATAAGCACTTGAGTTGAACCATTCGTTATAGATGTTTCCCAGATGATAAAGTCAATGTCAAAATATCCTGGCCCCGGGGAATTGAGAATCGTCAATGTATGATTCTCAGACGGAAGGTCTGATTGCCCAAAGAGGAGGACTTGGAAGGCACCCTTTGGGTCATGACCATCATAGATGCTCATCCCCCCATCTAATGACACGGTATAATTCCCATGGTTGTCACGTCTGGCACCGTAAACCCATATCCCAGTTCCAAAGAAGTCAAAGGTCGCACTTGCCCCTGGTGTAGAGGATGTCACAGCAGTCCCATTTCTATAGAAATTGGCGGAAGGATCGTCGGCTGCGTATACAAGTCTCCAGCCCGCTGTGGAATATTGTATGAGAGAATTTGGAGCATCTATCGTGAAGTTTCGTCTCATGCTGCACGTTCAAATAGAGGGGATCTTAAGAAGTTGTACTGGTGATAGGTAGTTATGTGACTTAGTACTATGGGCAGTGAATATTGGACGCGTGCGCGCGTCGATACGGCGGGGTTGGTTGTGTCTGGCCGGGCCATCACTTGATGCATGTAACAATGGTAGTACATGCTGAAGCTACAGCCACATTGCATTCTGTTGGGAAATACTATGCCATCGGTGCACCCGGACCGGCTACGCTTACCAACCTCTATTTACCGGGAATAGAGGTCAGCTTTTGTTATTTATTTATTCCGAAGACCTCAACACCGAGCATCGGCAATTGGGGGTTACATTCAACCGGTGGCGTCCTGGCCTGCGGAAGAGGCCAAGTCTAGGGTTGGATCTCCAGGGTTGGCCACAGCGGTGCCACGACCCTAATGACCTCTTTGTGTGATGCCTTTTCTTAGCTCGATGCTCTCAGAACCATTGAAGCGCGCTAATTAGGATTGCATCAACTTAGGTAATTGAACTACCAAAAATTACTCGGCCCATCTGCGCCATCTCGCGCGAATTCCAGGATACAACTCCTAGCTCAGAAGAAGGAAACAACGCGGATCTTGGGAACGTCAAAACAAAAGAACGACGGTTGCCACATATATTGGCGATGGACTCATCCGGTGCATATTATTTGCGCGTTCGGGCTCTGAATTCACCGGCGCAAAATGGTTGCCTTGGGGCGCGCAAGGTACCAACATCTGAATGTAGATGATGGAATCCGCGCGCGACCATTATATATGGTGGAGAACCCATCAGTTGCTGATGGCCTGACCTCCGTTTCACACTGCATGGTCGTGACTGGTGTAACATCAATCTAATGACACTGGTCTGGGCATGGCAGTACTTGTTCTAGCCGCACAATCGGACTGCATGGGAACTAAGGCTAAGGCGTTTGCCTCCACTGAGATGTATAAAAAACAACAGACGCAAGCCCAACGCGCGATTTGCAAATATTTCCACCCTATCAAAAACACGTTCCTACTTTGTTGCGAAGACTGGAGATGGGGCCATGGGAATGCTGATGAAGAACGAACGGGAAATAGGCTCAAGAGTCTGCGCATCCTGTTCTGTCAAGCGGACCCGCCCAAGGTTCGATCGGCCATGCCATACTTCAGCGGTCTCATCTTGCGTATTCTTGGATGGGGCCACAGGCTTCTTTGGTCGACAGCAAGTATGGAATGAATTTATTTGCTGGGGATTTGAAGGGGTAAGTAAGGATGATCGAAGGGATAGCTAAGTAATCAAGACGAGTCAGCACTTCAAGCGCAATTAACAGGCGCCACCTTAGAGCGGCGCGACGTGCAAGTGTGTGCACTTGAGCATCTACTTGCACTGTCGACAACCCACAAGTTGGGGGATCCACTATCGCTGGTATATAATTCCGATGCCATCGCATCAACTCGAGCGAGATGACCGAGTCCTTGGCAATGACCTCTCGCCGCCCTCATTTTCTTGGTACCACGTGTATAAAGTTCCCCATATCAGTCTCGGTAATATTGTTTTTCCCGACTCTCGATCAATAAGTCTCTTTCCGCCATCGCACCAGCTGGCTACTCTGTAACTCATGACTAGTCTCATACGGTCGGCGCAATGAAAGCCTGACTACCTCGTCATTCATCGCTGGTTTGAATATTTTTCTCCGTGTTTGCTTGATCGATCACAGTGCGAATACTTTGTTGATCAGGCGTTAATTGCTGTTATCAGTGTGTGCATTTGACCTCGTCTGTCCTTCGTTTCGGATTCAATGCGAGCACACCGAGTCGCTGCCAATGCTGATGTCCGTCTAGTACCACACCACCGTATCACGGATAGTTGCATAGTGCCACTGCAGATGTGATAATACATTGGCATCACTTCGAATTCATTCATTCTTGAAGATGCAGGAAAGAAGCTGTTTGATCAAAAAATACCGTTAAAGAAGATTTCCGTCCAGTGAAAGAGACTCGTAAGGGGGAAAGATCTTGACGTGGGGGGAAGATGATCTACTTTTGCAGAAGCTGGGATCCTGGAGGAATCACCTAGGAGAATAGTGAACCGGAGAGATCCGTGGCGATTGGCCAGACCGATCTCGTCTGGTTCCCATGGAGTATCCAAGAACACTTCGCTATCTCTTGCGCCTGTGGTGATGGTCTTTCCCGATTCCCTAGCTTACTGCTATGAGAATCCACTGCTCTTCTTCGTTCATCGTCGGGGGGTATTGCTTCACCTTCCTGAAAGCACGCTAGGTACCACTTCGCTTGGACACCAGGCCACAAACTCGGGGCACTCTACCGCTATTAGTGCTGCTAACTTTGACTAAGCTCGCCAATTTAAGGTACACCTCTCATTCATGAAACCCCCACTAACTCCACTGATTTCGGACTCTTACCAGTTTGGCCCGTAAGGCCAATTTATTGCGCAAGGATTCGCGCGCGTCCTGCTCATCGGCGTGGTCTGCTGACGCGATCTTCGATTGGCCTTATATAGCCCCTGATGATATCCCCTCAAAGCCAATTTACGAACACTGTTACATCGGGGTCAAGATGCGGTTGGTCAACCTCAGTAGCGAGCTTGACGTTGCGAAAGGTGCTCTTGATGCCGTTTTTTATACACTCAATGTGCAGTCCGATGGATCGGATGGATCTGAGTGTCGGCGCCGAGATTCACACTATATCCAATCGCTCCCAAGATATTTGGAACAGTTACTCAGCATCGAAAGGATTCTCTCTTCTGTCAAGTTCAAGCTGTCATATGAACGAGATTTCGTTCATTCCCCCATCAGTCGCCTTCCTCCCGAAATTTTGGCATCCATATTCGTTGAGCTTCATAATAGTGCCGCCGTCTCCCAGGACGGTGACCCAACGCGAGATATCTCCCGGCTTCCGACCGTATCCAAGCTATGGCGCGATGTTGCTCTGGGAGATAGCAGACTATGGACCGTCGTTCACGTCGAATGGCCGGTCGAAAGACAGGACCTTTGGCTTCAACGTTCCTGGAATCGCCCCCTCACCATAGTTGCGGATTGTCCGAACGAAACGGAAGCTAGCGTTCCTTCGAAATTGGTAATTTCGCATCGGGTTGCGCAACAATCTGGACGATGGAGGGCTATTCATGTCAAGGATTTCAACCAGGCCGATGTGGACGCATTTCTAACTCCTTTCGTCTTCCAGTCCAAAGACTTGTCGTCGCTTGAGGAGTTAGTCCTTGATGCTGGTGATTGGTTCTCCTGGCATCGTGGGGATTTTAATGCCCCTCCGTTCACTCTTTTGAATCAGAACGAGATGACCCTTCCACCTTTTCGACTTCTTTCGCTGAGGATATTCGCAATTCGTCTTCCAAACCCAGAACAACTTGTACGATCTCTCACTCATCTCCAATTCACCGGCACACCATATCCTCTCAACGTCCTCGCTCGAGTACTGAAGGAATGCTCCTCCCTGGAGTCCTTGGAACTCATAGGATATTTCGTCCATCGAGAAGAGATACTTGCTTACGTTGCCGCATCCGCTCGAACCGCCATGGGCGACAAAATATATCTCCCAAGATTGAAGAGAATGTCCGTTCGGCTGAGCGGGTGGAACAACGCTCTTCTTGCATTTCTATTCGTGAACATAGTTAGCCCGGAATTAGAGGAATTTTCCCTGGATGTCAAAAGGCAGTTTATAGAGAGTCCGAGAAACACGAGAGGCGTGCCTAGTTTTGAGCGATTCGTGAGTCTCTTTTATATTCAAACTACCTATTCTGATGGAGTTCCTTTCTGTGTTTTAGTGCATGAACAGCCCGAAGCTCCGGAACCTTGCCCTCTTGTACGATACGACAGTTATATCAGACATCCTTTTCTCTCTTCCGACCGAAGCTTTCCCTCACCTTCATACCCTACGGATCGACTGCTTAGACCCTCGATCGGCCAATGAGGCACAGTCCATGTCCACTCATTTTGGCATGGACTATACATCTCACCACCGAAGAAGAGGCTCTGGGTTCGGTTTGGGATATGGATATTATCCAATCTGCGATGACCTTGAGAGGTTTGTCGGGGCGCGTGCTGATTGGAGAGGTGGCGCAATGCTCCGGGATAATGGGGGGATAGTACCCAGAAGGTTGGCCAAGCTTGTCTTAGGAGAGTGTCCGGACGAGCGGAGAGCTTGGTTAAGCGAAAGGGTAGACGAGCTGGTGCTTCAGCGGACCCTTGATGCAAAAAGGAGGTCAAGATCGGTCATGGGTCGAAGGTAGTGAATCACACTAGTCAGTTGGATGGCATTGTCTTCTTTCGTCGTTTTTGGACGCACACATTTCGATACCCTTGTTTCTGCACTGCTACCGGGAATTGGCGACTATTATCCTCAAACTTTCTCTCCCCTCGACGAATGGTTGGAAAGGTGGAGCCGTGAACTTATGCTGGATCTGCATTGTAACATATGTACTACACGTGTGTCGGTGGTTTTATCAATACCCTCAATATCAATTGCTCGTGAGTCCAACCATAGCGTGTGGTCACCGTTATTCGTGAACGAGATTATACACATGCGGCAAAAGTACGATAACCCGACGACCGCCCGCTTGCACGCGGATTGACCAAGAACAGAAAGAAACAAGCATGAAATCGGGATTGGGAAGTCGTTGGTAAGATAACGATATCATATAGCGAAAATGAGCGTTGTAGAACGAAGGGGTCCAAGAGCAGTTGGCAACCCCATTTCCTCTCAACTGGGTGCCATGTATGTAGCACACTGATTGGGTGTTCACACTAAGACTACGCACGACCCCTATACCCATTTGCATTACGGAAATCATTTTCAAGATCTAACAGTGGTGATGGGTCGTATCCAAGGTCATTTCGGGGTATGATAGCTCCCCGTCCATCTGTAGAAAAGCGGGGGGGATCAGCGATCAGTATTCATTCTTGCGACGATGGGAAGGGAGAAAAGAAAAGATGAATCACTCACCGAAAGGTGGAGGACTTCCTATCGTTTGGCTTGCAGGAGCGGTCCATTCTGATAGAGGCATCGAAGTTCTCGAGCTCGGGCGAACCAGAGCAGACGAGGAAACGTATTCGTCCGAGGGGCGAGTGCGTGGATTTGCTAAATTTGTAGGGTCTCTAAGGGTACTAGAATAGTAAGGAGCGGTATAGGAAGTGGCATGAAAGACGGGACGTGTGGTGGCTAACGTCGTTTCCGTCACATCTTGGCGATGGGGTGTGATATCACGTTCACGTTGTCGTCGGCGATAGAAGATGAATGCTACTATGAGAGCCACTGCAATAACGACCACACCTCCTATGGTGCCGCCGACAATCGGTCCCACACTAGTTGGAGTCCAGTTTGACGATCGAAGTTGGGTTGGACTCGAGGATATCCAAGTGGTAGTTGTGGAAGCGAAGAAAGGGGTACTAGAGTTAAGAGAGGATCCCCATACTTCGACGTAGTCAATGGAGAGAGTAGCGCTATCGACGTTGTTGGCGATTGTGAGAAGGGTTGGAGATGAATCGTCACCCAGTCCAAGGAAGTAACACAATAATTGCTGTTTCGCTTCGTCGCTGAACAAGCCCGCATCACCGTTCATGGTCTGGAGCATTGGGATGACTAACGTCTTGTTTATACCACACGCATAACGTCCATGGCTGGGTCCAACTTTTCCGTAGACAGCAATGGCATCAGCTGTGGATGGAACAATGATGGATGTTCGAGCATGGTTCGTGTTCGTTGATGAAATCGTATCGTGGTATGACCCTTTGTCAAAGGCACCAATGTTCCAAAGAGATTGACTGGGAAGGTACTCGAACATGAGCACACTGCCGTCTGAACCAAACCAGCTTGAATCATCGACCAGTAACGACGTTGAATTGTCTGCAACGGTAGCCTCCCACACGATATAGTCAATATCGAAATAGCCATCTGAGGGACCCCCGCGGAGATTTATAACACTCAGGGCGTGCAGTCCAGGTGCGAGGTTTGATTGCCCAAATAACACATTCTGGAACGTGTCAACGGGGCTATAACCACTGTATGCGTTAACTGCACCATCCAAATTCACGGAATAGTTGCCATGATTTTTCCGTTTTGCGCCATAGATCCAGACCCCGGTCCCTTTAAAAATAAAAGTTGCCGTTGCATTTATAATATTCGTCATCACCCCGGTGCTGTTCTGGTACTGATCCACGGACGGATCAGTTAAAGGTACCAGCTGCCAGCCACTCGTGACATAATATATGAGCGAGTTGGGGGCATCGACTGTGAAGTTGAGCTTCATGTAACAAAGCACGGGTCAAGGTGGTAGAGGGAACCTGAGGGTGGTTGGAGCACAGCGAGGGCCTGAAAACTCATTGAATGCGGGCGGCGATTGATGGCCACAGCATTTAGGGAGCTTCGCCCATTCGGAAAATCTTTGCGGAGCAGTTCAAGGTCACACAGCCACTCCTCAACCACCCAACGGTGGCCTCCCTTTGTTATACATGAGAATGTCGTCGATCTATCCCTTAAGGTCTGGCCGTGAAGAAGAGTGATCGGAATGATCAACAGACGGAGGACGAAATCCAACCAGCGGCCTGCAAACAATTTGGGGTCACCGCGCAATTGAAATTAACCGTTTCCGGCAAGCGATGTGACTCTGCTCCCAATTCAACCGATACACTGGAACCCTCGGAAACGATGTAGCTATCCCCCTTCTGCAGCCTGAATGCGCCTGGGACCTTGTTGTGCCGATCCAAATTTGAGTGGCCGGCCCAGAAGCTTAACGATTGTGAGAGGTGCTTTGAAGGGCACGCATGTGTTACATACGCAGCCATCGACTTGGACGACGGACTGCGCTGTTGACCCCTTCAAATGGTGTCACCATTGCGGGACTAATGTGTCGAGGCATCTCCGGCCAGAAGCAGTGTTGTGACGTAGACACTGGCAAGAACAAATGGATCGCGACCTTAATCACACGCGTATCTTATTTTTTTTGGCTTGGGTTGTGCGATGCTTCGAGCCTCCTTGAACTCGGAACTTGCATGTAACTCTATTCGTGGAGACTCTAGTATCTAACGCGCTCCTGGAAAAGGGAAGCGGCATTTGGCCAAATTGTTGCGCATTGAAACTGGTGTAGCTATCGAGAACGGATTGTAGTGTTTTTCTCAATTGGCCTAAGATGGCATCACCGTCGTGAAGCCAATGCATCGGGGCATTTCCGGACAGATTGGAGCGGCGATGTGGATCGGGGACAAAACGGATCGTGATCTTGGATCTGTGTCCACCTTTTTTTCCCACGCACTCACCGCTCGGCTTGATGGTGAACGCATCCTGCGACCAGAGGCACCACTATCCGTTCAGCGCTCAGCGGAAAAATAGCAGATATTTGAGCGTCTTATATAGCCACTGGTGCTGCCGCGAAGCCGTTGATACAGTAATTCCTGGACATTGACGTACGCTGTGACCACCTCACTGTTGGAGCAGGGGTCCACGTTTTTTCTTTATCGCGCACGGACATCCTGTACTAGCGATTGTTCGTTGCTTTCTTTCGTGGGAACCACAACGATGGGATGCGATCGACGGCGCGCAGCAACCCAATGATGAATCACACCACTCAGTCGTGGATCGCTTAAAAGCCACCTCGACCAACTTTTTCGTGTTTATCTCCTCAGTTCACATCATTGGAACTGGGGTGAGATAGCCTTTATTTTTGAAGCTCGTATCCACATAGCTCATTACCTTGTATGCCATTCTCCTGGCGCTTACAGCGACGCTCCAATATATTTGGTTCACATCATTGCTTGGAACTGAGTGCTCACACGACTCTAGTTCTTCTAACAGTAATCTCCTCTTGGAAAGACTGATGCCATCGCCACTGCAGAACTTATCGCCGGTGCGTGCATATGGTTGAGGACAAAACGGATCACGAACTTGAATCAGAGCGCGTGCGCTCAGCTTTCTTTTCCCACGCATGGTGTCTGGGCAGAGATGAACTCAAGTGTGTTTCTCACCACTAGACTATCATCCGCTAATAACTTGTCACTAGCTAGGGCCAATGGCTCTTCTGAAATAAAGAGGAGAAGCGCTACAATGACATTGAAAGCAAATGGGGTCGCAATCATTTCCCACGGTGAATTTGTCCGTTGGAGCAGTACTGTAACCCGTTCCTCCCAAGAATTCACATGGAATCGTGTCTCCCAAGCGTGGTGACTGCACCGAAGCATTTTAGTTTTAGTTTGGTGGGTGTGTAAGTGTGAGGACAAAACGGATCGCAAAGTTGAATCGACGCGCTCGCGCGCTCTTCGCTTTTCCCACGCGTTTCTGCTTCATGAGTCACAGTTGAAGCTGTGGGAATTTTTCTTGTTTTGGCCGAACTAACCCGACATCCGACAACGTCTTCGAGGTTGCCCTTTCCCGCCCAAGTGCGCCCAGATCATGGGGACTCTATTGGCCGATTCCGTGAAAGGCAGATTGTTATTTGCTGTCCCAAAGAAAGGTGTGGTTTTCCAGTGATTGTTCTAGCCTAAGAACATCATCGGCTCACAGTCGAATTCAGGAAGGCTGCACGAGCAGTGTATCCAGCTACTAGATGGCGAGTATACGGATTATTGACATATATCGTGGACACCCCCGGCGGTTAACCGTGAAAGTGACTCTTGCAGGTGCTGACATCAAATACTTCAGGTCTCACCGTTTAGATATAGCCCTCGTCCAAAATCATCCGATCGCTCTGTAAGGGTTCTGCTTCTGGTACTTCAAGCGAGGCTAAATTTATCTTTCGCTACAGACTCTTCCTTAATGCCTCCGATATCCCTCAATTTGTTGGCTCTGGAAACGTCGATCTTGGAATAACGGGCCAAGACCAAATTGCCGAGTCGGGACTAACATCAAAAGTTAATGAAGTCCTCCCCCTCGGCTTTGGGAAATGTAAACTTCAAGTTCAAGTACCGGAATCTTCCCCATTCCAAACGGTCCAGCAGTTGTCTGGAAAGCGGATCGCGACGAGCTTCGAGTTTGTCGCTGGTGAATACTTTGGAAGAATCGATAAGGAAGTCGAGGCTAGTCGAAGTCATGAAGAACCATCTAGCCCTACAAAGATTCAATATATCGGGGGGAGCGTCGAAGCTGCCTGTGCCCTCGGACTCGCAGATGGGATAGGTTAGTCTCTCCCCTTTCCACCCTTCACATCGATCTTTGTCTAACATCTCCATCGTACCTTTTCCCCTCCCCATGTAGTTGATCTCGTCGGTACGTGATCACCATTCCGTCGTCGCGGGAACACCACCCGACAGTTCAACTCGTCGAGCTCACGGAAATTGGCATCCCCATCAAAGAATCGGGTGAAACTATGCGTGCGGCTGGCTTACATCCAATTGCCACCATTTTGGAAACTCAAGCTGTTCTCATCACATCTAAAGCGCCCCACTCGACGACATCGACTAATCCTGTCCTTGTGGAACTCATTGAGAAGATTACGAAGCGCATCCAGGGTGTTATTGCCTCTTCCAAATTCGTTCTGTGTACGTATAATGTGCGAAGGGCGGACATGCAGCAGGCGGTGGAGATTACACGAGGGAAGAAGGCGGCCACGGTGTCTCCTTTGGAGCGTCAACCAGGTAAGATTTCTAATGCATGTATCCGCAGTAGGTTGATCCATTCACGATGCCTCGCCCACCCCCAGGTGAAGAAGAATGGGTAGCCATCAACGTGATGGTCGAAAGGGCCACCATCGCTGATGTCATGGATAAATTGCAGGTGATAGGTGCTGAAGATATTCTCGTCACCAAGCTCGAAAATTGTCGTGTGTAGACGTAAATATTCGTTTGGATTAAATATAATGCAATCGGTGTTTTGGATTTCGCATGCCGGGTAATCAAGACCACAAACTCAGACAGAGCAAGACACGCAAATCTCAGAATCCCGGCAAAGCTCAGCAGATGCAGTCCAATCGTGCATCAGAATCCCTGACACCTAGTACGCGAGCACTGGCTGACATCCCCACCATTTCTGTACATCATCATTGCCCCCTAACAACCCTGCGATAAAGCCTCCGACGTCCTTCCTCGAAATCGAGAACATCCCCTTCCCTGAACTCTCCTCCTGTCCAGTCCCTTCCTGGATAATACGATAACTCCCCCTTCCCTTTGCCGTCTTATTGTTCAATAATGCAGGTCGAACCACACATACGTCTTGAGGCGCGATGAAAGGGCTAATCGCAGCGTCAATGGCAGCTAGTGTTGTTACCTTAGGACTGATCTCGGATGGAGCAGGGAAGAAGCGAGGGTATGATTCTTCAGAGGGAAGAAGGGCTTTGGAGAGAGCGACTTCCATCGCTATCTTGTCAGCGTGGGGGTGCTCGAGGAGCATGGTGTACAGGAGGCGAAGGCTATGAGATGTGCTAAGTTAAGGAAAGTGTGGCCGTCAGTGAGACAAGAAGACATACGCGAATGGAATGGTGCCGTGCGCGACTTTCCCCATTCCCATTGAGCTTACGAGAACGATCTTTGGCTTGACTGCGTATGAGTCATACCTCCTCCGGAGAGCTTGGAGAAGAAGGATAAACCCTAGGATTTGGGCGGGGGCACGTCAGCAATTGAGAGTTGACAGCGACATTGCCACGTAGGTCTTACCTCTAGAGCAGAGATCGGGCGGTTCGATGGGAAATCCCTTGACAATAGCTTTCGTCGCAGCCGAAAAACCGCTTGGAGGAGTGAAACCTGTTCGAATTGCAAGCGTTCGCATTAGGATGATCTAATCATCAAGGGTCACGTACCAATGCTATATACGATGGCTTTGAGATCCGAACCACACTCGTCTAAAAGGCCTTCAACGCTATCAGAGTTATGTGCGTCACCCGTCAGTAGCGTTGTCCGCTCCTTGACGGTAGGATCCAGTGAAAGGTAGGGGGATGACTCTTTGAGGACATCAGGTTTCCGTAGCAATAGCACGCTTCGCACGTTGGGTTCAGCAGCAGCAAGATCGACGTAGGCTGCAAAACCAACTCCTCGAGAGGCACCAATGTAGGCAACAGTAGACATAGCTCAGGCTGTTCAGGTTTGGGGGGGGTAACGGCTTTAACCTGTCTCAACTCTCAAGGTTCCTATCTTTATACACAAGCCATTAACTCCTACAGCCGTGCCATTATGCCCGTCTCGATCACAGATGACCCTTGGAAGGAAACCCATAACAACCAGATTGTATTAAACTCTCTGAATTTCCGTCAAGCTGTCGGAATGGATCCATTCAACTGAGCACGCTGCACTGCCACTCTTCTGGAGTTCCTGACCACTTCGATCGTGTTGGGTCGACTGTGTCAGAGTTTCCCTGCGCGATCAGTATTGACCTTGCTCGAGAGGGCTGGGACGAATCGGCGCAGCTTGTCGCAAATTTTTCGCTCGTGGCCGTCTCTGCAGTAACTGTTGCCGAATCCTCGTCGGGAGTGTCTCTAGCCCAATTTGGGCTGGCTCCACGTGGCCCCATTCTTTTTTTTTTTTTTTTTTTTTTTTTTTTGGTGGAACCTTCTGTAGCTTTCGCGGGCTTGAGTGCCTGAAGGTTTGTGGGGAAGGACTAGGCCTTCCTATCGGTGTATCTAGTGCCTATATGATGGGAATTGCCACCGCGGGGAAATGCGTTATCGCACTGGCGAAATCATTATCGCACCGTGTGGGGCTCACGCGACCGTGGGGGGTCGGGTATACCCACACGTGGCCCCATTCTCACACTGTTCAATGTCCCTACGTAATCTGCTTTTCTCTGTGCATGAGACGATATATATTTTGAGCATCTTCTCGAACCTGGTTCTCACTGCACTCTTAGCTATTCTCTCATGGTTTATTAGCTTCTGGGATATCTGTATACACTCAATGGCTCACGCTGGATTCACTGTGACACCATTCTATCTACTACTAGAATTGACACCGACAACTATCTGTGCTTGGTGTCTGGTCAATTACGCTATCCCATCGTTACGTACGTTCATCAGCCTTCGCACGGTGAATATCCCTTGTGGAGTTATGACTTTAATCATTGACGTTTCTGACTCTCTGCCTTTAGGTCTGCGAGTCCTCGTTCGCAGTGATTGACAGGGCTGAACTTCGCCACCAGAGACCAGACGATCGAGTGCGGAATGCCAAGCACTTGACAGTTCCGTCATCTTACTGTAAATTCCAGGACTTTTGCACTCTGACATACCGGCCCCCCCACGTGTCTGCCTCTTTACTCGAAGTGAGGATCAGCACTTCAGGGCCAAACTCAGTGCGAGAAACAATATGAGAAGAAGAGGAGGCAACAGAAACACTGTCACCAACTCGGAATGGCCCTCAGCAACCGAGGGGTTCCGCTATCTTATGTGTCTTATTCGGTACGCTGGAGCTCTTCGTCGGTGTAAGATAGCTGCTCCTTGGTATGCAAGATGCCAACATCTGCGTGGCAGAACCGGTAGAATCCCCAAGCAACGTGGTTGGAGAATTTATCAGATATTGATGCCCTGGCCTCCATTTTCCTCGTTACCAAAATTAGTTGCGGAGTTCAAACCGTGCGGCGTGGCATCACGTTCGCCATGGAAGGTGACACCAATCTAACGGCGTTGTCGGGGCAGTGTTCCGGCTAGTCGGACTGCATGAGAACTCAAGCCAGATCCATTGGAAAAGAGAATTTAATCACGCGGAGACGCGACGTACATCCTTGCGTTTGAAGTCGCTTGGCAAACATATTCGAAGATATGTATGAAACGAAATGAAGGCCCAGATGAGTTTACAGCCTGTTGTGCAAGTCACAATAGCCAGTCGGAGCCATCAGAGGCGAGAGGGAGAATGGTCGAGTGAGCGACAGCGTGTCATTTTGAAGGCAGTGAAAGGCGAGTTTCCGACATGATATCCCAAGGGCAGGGCCACATGTTCCACCGCGGATATGACCACCCTCCATTCCCATTAGTATCACTAGAACTGTCCTGGAGGCCCAGCAGTGGGGAAAGGTCATATCCAAGATCTCGTCGGGACCTCAACGCAGTTTCCGAAAAGCATTGTCAATCTGGGTTTGTCAGCGTAATTTGTTTTATTTGATACACCTGGAGGTGGACCGGATGTCGGCGTGGAATTTCTTCGAACAGGGCCATCTGCGCGTGCTCCCTCACCAGAAGACAAAGAGCTCCAAATCAGTGGAAAGAACGTGCCAGTTTGGGTACTATGATACTGGGTTACTGGTGGTGGGAATGACGGCGCTCCGTAATCAATCGGACTTGGCTCCGTGACGTGCCTGTGTCGGTAGTAGAGCACCACTACAGGGAGAGCAACCGAAACGACAAGCACACCCCCGGCAATGCCACCTGCGATAGCTCCTATCTTCATGGCATTGGGTGAAGAGTCCGTAAAGACAGAGGGGTCCCTAGATGATGTGGGTTGGAACAAAGCAATTGCTGTCCCATTTGGCTGGTATACATCCCACCATCACTACTTATTATCCCAGGCGCCGAGCCACCTAGCGTCTTGTTTACAGTACATGTGTAAGGTCCATGACCAGGGCCAAGTTGTACATATACGGCGACTGCGTCGGCAGTTGACAGAACGAGGGATACACTAGCCCCATGATTTCGGGTCGATGACAGCGTATTGTTGTACGCCTCGCCGTCTTTTTCGCCAATAGTCCAGGACGATGGGTTAGGGAGGTAGGACTTGAATTGAACCACGTCCAGTCGTCGACAATTAGCTGCATCGAGCCATCTTTGATAGTTGTCCCCCAGGTCATGTAATCAATGTCGAAAACATCGCCGTATGGCCCCCCACCCAAGTTGGTGATGGTCATAGTATGGATGAAAAGCCGTGCGATGAAAAGAGTTGGGCTTCAAAGACTCGATTTGGGTTGGGGAGATAACTATTATATCTAGCGGTTATGTTTCACAGAGGAATTCCCGTGGTTTGAACGTCGGGCACCGTACACCCAAATCGCAGAACCATTAAAGGCAAGCGTCGCAGTTGGCCCAACAGTTTTAGACTTTACCGCAGTCCCGTTTTGGTAAGAATTTGCGAAGGGGTCACCAGCCAAGGAAATCATTTGCCAGCCTCCGGATGAGTAATGGATCAAGGAGTTTGGAGCATCGACGACCAGGTTGTGCTTCATCCCCACTGCGTGCAAAGAGCAGGGAGAGGGAGTACTGTCGCAGCCAAAATGTTGCTTGATGCCAAGCAGTGGAGTTACCATCAACTTCAGGCGTTGATTGATGCTACGTTCCTCCCATGACAGGGACTACATAGATAGCAGATCTCTCTCATCACTTTACGCCGCTCCGCCTTATGAACATGCACAACATAGCGCTTCACTGACATTGCTAGGGTGCCTATTACGGGTGGGACGCCAACAAGTTGGTACACCCTCTTTGCACCGGGCCCTGGGAGCTGGGCTCTGTGTGGTTCCCTGGGGCGTTCTGTCAAGGATCTACGTGTTCACTGTTGTCAGAATTCATGAACTGGGGTCACACGTAATGCCGAGTTTCGTCGTATTTCCTCTTTGATTCCTGGTTTGGCGGACCATGCAGTCATTTCCTGAGCTGTATCGCGTGTAGCGGAGTTGGCCAAATCGTTCAGTTCACTCGGCGAAAGGTTGTGTTGCATTTACTGCTCGCGGTCTGTCGCCCATAATGCAGTTTACATATTCGCTAGCGCGATGATGGAGTTGACCCTGGAGAATATCTTTGAAGTGGATTGTATCAGCCGGCCTGGAAATCGTTTTTTCTTCGGAAACTGTCTCAAGACTTGCATGAAACGATTGATGTCAGGGCCAGCGTTGTCAGGCGTGGCATGGAGGCCTGGGGATGATGAATTAGCGTAGCGTAGTGTGGTAAGTAACCCAAGCGAGCAAGTAACAAGGAAACGATTGAATGGGTTAGCAGGCTCCGGTAACTCCCGGAGACCGTGGGAATGAACTTGCCGCCAGCCGAGTAATAGCGGATGGCTCGACACAGGCAATTTCTGCCTGTCGAGTCATTGCTATTGAGTGATCGACTAGGCAGGACTCCAGCCTCTATGACTTCGTAACAGGCTTCACAATCTGCCCTCATCGATTAACTGCTACTGTTCAGTGTCTGCGGCTTACCAATTACATTTTCTAGTAGCCGAGTGCTGCTGCTATGGGCTCCAGCAATGCCCACCCCAAAGCCACCCCCAATTGGCCTATCTTTCCTCCCTCCATTTTCCTCTGGCTCTTCCTCTTCTTATCATCCACAGTTAGCTCTAATTGATAGGACTTCCAAGAACAGAAGAGCGGGGGATATGTTTTAGTACCAATGGGGTCCGGGCTAGACTCCCACGACAGCGATTTCGGGCAACGAACTATCCAAGTTTGGTTGTGACATATAACCATTGAGCACTGCCACTGCCCTAATTTTCTTGCCTGCCTCACTCCTTGTTTCTGCCCATTTTTTCAATCTCATGTAAACTGCATAGAAGGAATCAGGACAGCGAGTTCCCACCGACGTGGCGATGCGCGGTTGAATCGGTTCGTTCCGACAATACTGGCTGTGTCGGCAATGGCGACCAACCCCTAGCCACGGCGGCGTTTTCGATCAAAGTTAACCCCTCGAAGGCGGTATAAAAACAAACGTTTGACACAGGCCAGAGCCTTTTACTAGCATAACTTCAAGCCGAACAAACATGACCACCGTCGCCTACATTGGAGCCTCTCGAGGAGTTGGTTTTGCAGCCTACGCCGATCTCGCTGCTGCTCGTCACAACATACGAAGCGTGTTGATGCTACGAAGGCCTGATGTTCTCAAAGATTCGCCATCCTACCTTTCTCTAGATGCCACAATCAAGGAGAGGACAACGTTGTTGATGGGTGACGCCCATAACTCTGACAGCATTAAGGGGCTTTTGGACGAGTGTGGTCCGGATCTCAAAGTCATCGTATTTAGCATTGGTATGTGGCTCTTAAGCGTTTAGCCCCCCAATACGAACTCCTGCAATTCGGACAGGGTTTACACCTCCAAGCGGGTTTTTGGCCGCGACGAAAGCTATTGCGAAGGGGTTTCCCATTGACCCGCCTGATCTCTGCTCCAGGGGTAAGATCCACGCCAACATGAACTCCCAATTGCTGATACACTCCGTCCCAACTCCAGGGTTTATCATTCTTCTCCAGGCGCTTCAACAGAGGCATGACTCATACGCATCCAAGCCAAAAATAGTTCTTGTAAGCTCAATGGGGATGGGGAAAGTCGCCCACGGCACCATTCCATTCGCGTATGTCCTCTACCCCCACTGACGGCTGGACTTGATCTAACACATTTAAATCTAGTCTTCGCCTCCTTTACACCACAGTCCTCGAGCATCCCCACGCTGACAAAATAGCCATGGAAGTTACCCTCTCCAAAGCCCTTCTTCCCTCATCATCATACCCTCACTTCTTCCCATCCCCATCCGAGATTAGTCCGATGGTGACGACCGCAGGTGACATTGACGCCGTGATTAGCCCATTCATCGCACCTCAGGATGTATGTGTGGTTCGGCCGGCGCTCTTAACTGATGACGCGGCAAAGGGAAAGGAGAAATACCGTATTATCCAGGAGGGGACTGGACGAGAGGAGAGTTCAGGCAAGGGGATGTACTCAATTTCCAGGAAGGACGTCGGAGGCTTCATTGCAAGATTGTTAGGAGGTGATGATGATGTACAGAAATGGTGGGGATGTCAGCCAGTACTTGCATACTAGGAGCCCGTGCTTCCAGTATACGGATGGACTGCCTCCACTCCCTTTCTATTGCCAGTAGATTAGCGTATTTCAGGCCAGAAGCCCGCCTTCACGATCAGAATTGACTGTGCTCGGGGAGGATAGAACAATTCGCAAGTCAGACACGCCCTGTTGAAAGTAAGGTCGACGTGCCTACGTTTCCGCGCACGGCCGTTTCCCCCCAAGATATCTTCACTATTCCCTTCTTGGTCTGCTTGTTGATAGATACAGACGCTAAAGCCGCATTTTTTCTTCTCTTCCTGTAAGTGCCGATTGTGGTTTAGTTCAACGACGGTTTGTATCCGTTAGACCATTTGTCGACGAAACAGTGTCGATAGGTCATTGCATCATCGTGTTTAGTGTGTAAAGCCAACCACATCTTGCGACGCTTCCAGACTGTCCCCCCTCCCCCGAAACCTCGAGAAAATGATTCTTACGCTCCACAACAATAACCTCCAATATATATACCCCTTCTCCAGATTCCGACTTCACGGTCACCTACTTTCATCCTGCTCGGAGATGCGCCAATATCGATCGTTGAAATCAAGGAGCCTGGAATCTGCTCGGGAGCTAGGAGGCGTATGGGCAAATCCGATGGACTTGACACCAACATGTCCTCTCCCGATTCTTCGTTGCGTTTCTTGGGGCAGAAAAAGCGGAGTCCTTGCGAGAGCAGGTCAATATTATCAAGGAGTAGTATGCAAGGACAGGAGCTTGGTCGGTGATCAGATTGTTCTAAAGAAGTATAATTGGTAACGCATATACGCGGATCGCCATGACATCTACATACACACATCATCTTTCCACCGGGATCAAATCAAACTCGAAAGTCATTTATACCTCTATGCTCCGTATCTCTGCCTGCGTGAGGGAAAATGAAGAACTGCTTCATACCCTGCCCAAATGTCCCGTCACCAACGCAACGACACCTTCTGGGGGGAGGTACATTGTCAATGACAATTCTATCTGCGCTTTGCCAAAACACAGAAATTGAAATTCCGGTGGTATTTTGCGAGCCTGGATTAATATACAACCCTGGTTAAAAGACATCGATGGAAGTCCTTGTTGATGATAACGTTTTCGGGCAAGAAGTTATAGTCCACTCGGCAACCCGCTATTGAAGAGAAAACCTGTACAATCGTTGTGTCTCCGATTTTCCTCTCGAACCGAAGACCTCCGTCACATCGCCGGGGCCTCCATCTCCTTTCAGCGTGGCTCTATCTCTCTCCACAAAGCAGACCTTTCCATCTCTCCGAATCAAAATTACGGTAGTTATACGGGTGCCGCAAAGTTTGCTTGTTTGCGTTGAAGGCGGTTCCGGTGAAGCGTCAGGATTGATTGGGGTGGAAACACAAGGCACAATATTGAAGGGAGGGATGAAGATGGAGTCACGAAGATGATCTTGAGAAGGATGGAAAGATGGTGGCGACCATCCCATGAGTTCCATGAGGGCTTCTATGAGAGCTACTTCTTGCTCATCATCGGTTAGGTCTGAACTTGAAGATTTTCGAGCCTTAAGTATCCCTTCGAATCGTGCACGACCAACATCTGTCTTCGGCCACGGTCCTGTTTGACCGAGGCCATCCACAGGGCTTCCATCTATGGCGTTGGATATTCCGCCACAGTGGCATTCATCGGCAGAGATGGGACGGTATGTCAAGCGGCCATGGCCACCATGATTGGTTAGCAGAGCAGCCTCGTACTCCCAACCCGATGATCTCGACGGTTTCGGTGCGAAGAGGGTGAAGTTGAAACCGGCACTCTCAAGGTGCGTCGTATCTCCATCATAGTGCTCGCTAAGGTATCTGAGCAGAGGGGATGGTGTACTGTCATGATGGGAGAGATACTCCTGGGCGAACGATCCTCGGGAGACAGCAAACTTCTTCCCGTCCGAAGGCTCGATGATATTGGTCCTGTGAACAATCATGTTTATTCCAGGCAGGCAGTCGGCGCAATCAGTAGTTCAGGCGCACAAGAAACCAATCTGACCAGCCCTATTGATGCCTAACCACGTCCCTCCGCCCTTTAAATCGATGCCTGATAGAATAAAGCCTCCAGAGACTGAGGGAATCTGTACATCATTATCTGATGGTCCCAGTCTTACGCCGAAATTGTGGAAACGCGCTGGCAGTGTTGGACGGGCCAGGAACTCGTCCCTATTAGCGCACAATATCCTAGCGGGTGGAAAGAGTTAGTGCCGTGCGCAACATCAGCAAGGTCGACATTGTAACCCACAGGCAGTAATTAGGGTCATCTAGTGACCAGAATCCGATACACATGATGCGAGAATGTGAGGAGCACTGGTAAGAATGGAAGGTATGTCGAAAGGTTTGGGTCGAATGTTGTATAAATGATCCGAAGGGTACTCCATGGGACGAAGCTATATATCGTGGCACAGCTATATCAATCTCGGACCCGGGATACAGCAATTAATCCAGTCTTTTCACAAAAGGTACACGAAAAGGTTCACAGATTGAGTTCAGGTTGTATAAGCACTAAACTCATGGTTAGCGACCGCAAACGCCCGATTCATTGGGAGGCACAGCTCTTACCAAGGTGCGGGACTCGTGCGTCGGCGAGCGCTTATCTTTTTCTCTCCTTCGTCCGCTGTTACACTACGGCATTGTGCCACTTGGTTGCTACGCCGTACCTGCTGTCAGTCAGCTCTTTCGCATGTTGATTGACCGCGCGCGCCGATCTAGCAATAATTCCTGACCTTCGGGTACCTTCGGTAAGCAAGGGTCCGGTACTTACCGGTCATTATTCTTTCCCGTATTTGCATACCCGTTCTCCTTGTGTGTCTTTGTATTGTACTGAGCGGTCCAGGAGCCCCGGCCGTATATACATCTACAAACCGAAGGCTAACATATCGGTGTGGGCTGCCGCCAGCTCTCAGGCTGAGGCCCTAGGCAAGTGACCAGCCTCTCTTTAACGAGAAGAGACTGAGGCCCCACGTACGGTCATAAGGACGGCACCGGGTGATTCCGGTTTCATCATCGCTGACGTATCGTCGGCCTCCTCGGCCCACCGACGTCACATACGCGCCGCCCTTCTACTGGGTCTTCAACGACCATATTAAGGCGCCCCCAACGCCTACCTCTACCCGATCAAGGCCTGGGCATCGCGACATCAATCTAGAACCACATCGGGGATGCTGGCGACGCGGTTGAGGCGGAGACGTCTCGTTCCTTTTCCTTCTTGCTTCTGCTTCTGCCTCTGCGACTTCTCCTTCCGTCGCGCTCCTTTATCTGTGGGTTAGTTGTTGGTGTAGCCGGGTGCCGCTTTGATTGGTGGACTGTCGGCCATGCTCGCGACCTTCGAGTGGCGTCTACTGAATATACGCAAGCATTCAATCAGTCACTGGGGATTTAACTCTCCTCCCCCAAATATCAAGGTTGTAGAAACAGGACCGGCACCGAGTATGCACTGATAGTATACCATCACTTCCGATGTGGTTCCTAGAAATCGAGTGCCTAAGCTCTACGGTGGTTTGTCAGTCAGCGTCTTTTGATATGACAACCTCGTCGCGTCAAATTAGGTTGGGGGCATGTGCCGATCACAGATTCGGATACGTTTTCAGAGCGTCCCGAATCCCCGAGAAAGTGATTTTTACGCTCTATATAGTAAGCTCCTATACATCCTTTTCCCTCCGGATTCCGAGTCAGACTTCTCAGCACCGCCTGTTTCCGCCCTTAAGAAGATCGATCGAACCCGAGATCATCCTGCCTGGAAGGCTCGGAAGGGGGCGGATGAGCAAATCCGATCTCGTTTGCTGGACTTCACACCGAAGTGTCCTCTCCCGATTCCTTGTGTGTTCAGTGCATCTGGGACATCTCTGGCCTTTCGTCATGGAAGTGAAGGCGAAGTGACCCAGTCTCCGTGATTCCTTGTTCCACATCGCACCAAATCGATGTTGCGCCCATCGGATTGTGGCCATTCTTGGGGCAAAAGGAGCGGAGATCTTTAGAGAATAGGTCAACATCATCAAGGAAGAGTGCAAAGATACGTGCTTGGTCAGTGATCAGATTGGATTGATGCAATGGACATTCTCATACTAACTAGTCGAACTGCCTTCGGCTGGCTCTGATGTATGATGAGTCGTGGGTGGGAACTGGCGCCTTCAACTGGAACCCTGTTCGGGAAACTCAGAATGAATTCTCATAAGACTGGGTTGGACATATGTAGTTAGATTTCCCGGAAGCAATCGTGGGCCAGCCCCTGTCCATTCCTTATCACCATGTCTTTGAGGCGAAAAGCCAATGTGCTTAAGCAAAAGGTCGATGAAATTCTTGCAGCAGGAGGCGATGTAGCAGTTCCAATTCTCAACGCTGTTAACGCTGCATCAGATGCGTTCCCTCCCCTCAAGTCTGCTTCCAGCGGCGCACTCTTTATATTCGACGAGTTCAAGGTGTGTCATGGTGATGACCCATGCTGAACTGGGCGCAAAAAGTGACGATCTGTTACGTAGAAATTCAAGCAGAGCAAGCAGGAATGGGAGGACTTTGGAGAATACGTCAACACCATGACCGATGCGATTGAAGCCATTAATGATACATCAAGTGATGAGGCAGCACCTTGGATGGAAAGTATTACGAAGTTGAACGGGTAGGCAGCATTTGTTCTATACAATGTCTAGCTGCCGTATAACATAAACGTTTCACAGGGCGTTGCAGCGCATTCAGAACGAAATCAAATTGCATGAGGGCCCGCGGAGAAGCTTCTCCTTCAGCAATTTTGTCTCGCTTCCGAGGGACCTAGATGGCTTGAAGAAGGATCTCAAGGAGGCTCTGGAATTGTTCCAGGTAACCGTGCTTAATTTCGTCTCTGGCTCTTCTGACTACATCGTGGGGATGATATAGGTGAGCACGATTGGCAGCAATCAAGGTCGGTTAGCTCGAGTAGAGAATGCTTCGGTTCTCGGGGGGCTCCGGCTTCCCAGTGTTGCCCACCACGATTCTGCTCAGACGTGCCTGGAAGGCACCAGGATCAAACTCATGGAGCGTATTATGGCCTGGTGTCACAACACCAAGGATAGTGAGAGACGTGTAATGCTGCTAACGGCCGTGGCCGGTGCCGGCAAGACATCTGTTGCGCACTCTATCTCCGAGAAGTGCATGGAGGAAGGGATACTAGTGCTCTCCTTCTTCTTTAGGGCAGGTGAGCAATCGCAACCAGATTGTCTATTCAGCGGCGCGGCGCGGTCTCTAGCAAGGCACGACCCAGTGTGCCGAACCTCCATCGTATCTACCCTTCAGAATAATCCGGCTCTGACGACTGCACCGTTCACCATGCAATTCGAGAAATTGGTGGCTGAACCCCTTCATCTGAAAGTGCTACCCTCCGATCGACCTATGGTGATCATAATCGATGCCCTAGATGAATGCGAGTCACGATCATTCGAGCTCCTTGCCGACATACTTCGAGAGCGTGTGCCCAAATTGCCCTCTAACATCAAATTCTTTGTCACCTCGAGGCAATTTGACCGAGTTGAGCGTTTTCTCCCTCTTAAATCTCCTATTGATCGTGTCAGCATTGATCTTCTGGATGATACAAATGTGCAAGACTGCGATACCTACATCCGTATGCAACTAAACAAACTGAAACACGTACATCCTAGTTTGAATGATGAACTCAAGGAAGAGGAGATGTTGGTCCAAGGCATTTTGAAACGAGCAGGTGGCTTATTCATTTGGATCAGTACTATCTTCCATTACATGAGGATGACGAGCGGGGCTCCTATGAGAACACTGGAGAGACTGCTTGATACCGGAGCGAAGACTCAAGCCGAGGAAATGATGGATAGCTTGTACATGAATATTCTGGAGAAGTGGGATTGGAAGGATGGAGATTTCGTACACGACTACCCAGTTGTGATGGGAGCAATCTTATTTGCACAACAACCGCTGTCTGTTAAGGCTTGGGATGCCATCCTGTCGCCAGTTCTGAAGTCTTCCATCTATTCCACATTAGCTCAACTTGCTCCTCTCCTCTCGGGTTATGGAGAATCTCACACGCAAATTCGTATCCTGCACCAATCCTTCCGCGACTTTGTCACGGAACGAATCAACCCACAATCACCCATACCCCATCATTTTGCAGTGGATGCGAGGAGGGCGAATGCCACAATAGCCATGCGCTGTGTCGACATCTTGAATAAGGCACTCCCCTTTATCAAAGGTTTGGGGACGCTTGAAGACCTGTCCAGAGAGGGCGAACTACAAAGCCCTCAGGAGATACTGCCTGAAGAGTTCCGTTACGCATGTCGGCACATCGTGTATCATCTTAATCAAGTTGAGGAGCCGCCGAAGGAGCTTGTTGGTTCGGTTCGCGCATTTCTCAACAAGGAACTAATGCGCTGGGTAGAAGTTTGTGTGAGAACGGAAGGGTATATCAGTATAACATCGTTCCCAGAGTGGGCCAAGGTGCGAATTATTAATGGGGTTTATGAGCGATTCTTATCAGTGTCATGTTCATCCAGCTAAAGATGGATCATAGTTCCGGAAAAATCATCCACGCGCTAGTCAAGGTACTTCGTAATGTGTGGGAAAATTTGGCGTTCTTTTCGAGATTTCCGGAGGCATATAAGTTGGCAAAGGATTCAGTTGTACTCTGCCGTTGCCTTGTATCCGTTGACTCGGAGTCCTACACCCCAGATTTGGCTCTATCTCTTGGGCGTTTATATGCCTCACTCTTCTATCTCGGAGAACATCTCGAGTCCCTCCCCACGATTGAAGAAAGCGTCAAGCTCTTGCGTCAGCTGGTTAATGTGCATTCGACGTTGTACACCCCTGGCTTGGCCCAATCACTTGGGAACCTGTGTGCCTCACTCTGCTGTCTTGAACGGCACCCCGAGGCTCTCTTAGCGATTGAAGAAAGCGTTAAGCTTTGGCGTGAGCTTGTTGCTGTTGATCCGGCATCCTACACATCGAATCTGGCTCAATCACTCCAGAATCTCAAAGTATCGCTTGACAAACTCGGAAAGCACTCCGAGGCCCTCGAGGTGATCAGAGAAAGCGTCAAATTATGGCGTGGGCTGGTTGTCACTCATCCAACATCATATACTCCAGATTTAGCAAGATCGCTTCAAAAGCTTAGTGTGTCACTGAACAGAGTCGGGGACCATTCTGAGACACTTCCAGTGATCGAGGAAAGTGTTGAGCTCTGGCGCCAGCTGGCAGCCAGCCATCCAACATCGTACACCCCAGATTTGGCTCGCTCACTTCAGAATCTTCATGTATCACTTGACAAGCGTGGACGGCATTTTGAGGGACTTTTGGTAGTTGAAGAAAGTGTTGGACTCTGGCGCCACCTAGTCGCCGTTCATCCTACATCTTACACTCCAGATTTGGCTGGATCGCTCGAGAACCTTAATGAATCACTTGGCAAGCTGGGACGGCACTCTGAGGCGCTCTCAGTAATTACAGAAAGTGTTCAACTCTGGCGCCAGCTCGTTGCCCTTCATCCGAGATCATACACCCCGGATTTGGCCGAATCGCTCGAGAATCTTAATGGATCACTCTCCAATCTTGGACAACATTCCGACGCACTCCCAGTGATCGAAGAAAGTGTAAATCTCTGGCGGCGGCTAGTTTCATTTCATCCGGCATCATATACCCCAAGTTTGGCACGGTCACTCCAGAGTTTTAACACGTCCCTCACCAATCTCGGACGACATTCAGACGCGCTTCCGGTAATAGAAGAAAGTGTCGGGCTCTGGCGCCAGCTCGATCCAACATCATACACCTCCGATTTGGCTAAGTCGCTCGAGAATCTTAACGAATCACTCTCAAATCTTGGACGACATTCTGATGCCTTCCCTGTGATCGAAGAAAGCGTCAATCTCTGGCGCCAGCTAGTTTCGACTTATCCAGAATCATATACCCCAAGTTTGGCGCGGTCACTCCGGAACCTTAACACGTCACTGTCCAATCTCGGACGGCATTCTGTCGCACTCCTGGCGATTGAAGAAAGTGTCGAGCTGTGGCGCCAGCAGGTTGCTGTTCATCTGACGTCGTATTCCCCGGGTTTGGCCTTATCACTCAAGAATCTCAATGAGTCCCTTTCCAATCTTGGACGACATTCCGATGCGCTCCCAGTGATCGGAGAGAGCGTCAATCTCTGGCGCCATCTGGTTGCAATTTATCCCGCGTCTTACACCCCCAGTTTAGCACGATCACTCCAAAATCTTGGCATGACACTTTCCAATCTCCAACGGCATTCTGCCGCACTCCCGGTAATCGAAGAGAGTGTCAAACTCTGGCGCCAACTGGTTGCCGCCTATCCGGCGCTGCATACCCCGGGTTTGGCCATATCACTCTGCAGTCTCAGCAGCTCGCTTCATAACCTTGGTCGTCATAAAGAGGCCCTACCTCTCATTGAAGAATCCGTTTCCCTGTGGCGTCCGCTTCTCGATAATCATCCAACTTCATATGCTTCTGATGTAGCCTTGGCGTTGCACACTCTCTCAACCGAGTATTCATGTCTCGGGGACCATTCAGCTGCACGTGATGTGGGTGAGGAGTCGTCGGCACGCTATTACCGACTGTATTCCCAATATCCTGACGTCTACGGACACAGACTTTGGCTTGCATATTCCTCCGTCGCTGGTGCATGGGAGGGTCTTGGCAGACAAGATATGGTAATGACTGTAAGCGCTCTCATGCGGAACCTGTCACGACCCCACCTGTACACATGTTCATCGCAATCATCCGCGCAGCAAGCTCGAATATAAACCTCAGAACTTCCATACATTGTTCGTCCTAAGTATAGCAGCGAGAGCAGATCCATTGTCGAGTTCCAATTTGATTGTGAAATTGATCGTCAGGGTAGTGAGATACCTTACGCTGTATAAGCGTGTACGCGTGATGGACGTCGCTCACCAGATGCAGGTCACTAATAAGGAGGATTTGTTTTGTCATGTCATGTGTATTTCGGGACGCGTACCTAGCATGGCGTTCATTACACTGCCGATTCGAGATTGATAGTCACGGATGTTGACTTCGGGTGTATCGAGTCGGGGTAGCTTGAAATTAGACGCAATTGGAGTAGAAATAGGGCGAGAATTAGTGAAATTAAAATGAGAGAGGATGTCTTTAACATAGCGCGACTGGGCTCATAACCTATTAGAATAGTGACTATGTCGCGTAAGATTCAGACTCGAATAAGAGATCTAAGTTGTAAATACCTATGTCGCATAAGACTGCGACAAGAGTTATACATGAGTTATAATAGGAGATATAGAATGGTTCTAACCTCAGACTCGAATAAGAGATCTGAGGGAGAAAAGTCTAAGGCTTCGTTCGGTATGGAGAAACAGGTTTCTTTGGTCTGTTTCTTCCTGTTTCTTAATACAAAAATTGCGTGTTTCTTTAGGTAGAAGAAATGAGAGAGAATATTGAATTGAAAAACTGGAAGAAACAGGCCTGTTTCTTCATACCGAACGAAGCCTAAAAGGAATTCCTCCCTTATATACGCGACATTCCTGAGTGGCAACGTCATCGTACAAAGGGAGTTTTAAGTTGAATAAGAGGGGCAAAACACCCCCAACACCTCAAAGCGCCCCATAATGAATACCAACCTTGTTTACATCGGGTAGTTGTGTAGCGGTTATTCGTAGCGGTCATTCTGGGGCGCTTTGAGGCGTTGGGGGCGTTTTGCCCCTCTTATTCAACTTAAAACTCCCTTTGTACGATGACGTTGCCACTCAGGAATGTCGCGTATATAAGGGAGGAATTTCTTAGACTTTGCTCCCTCAGATCTCTTATTCGAGTCTGAGTCTTACGCGACATAGTCACTATTCTAATATATTTGTTCTGAGTGGTAGGATCCAAAACTTTGCTGGACACAATAAAGACATGGTTCTATCCTCTCGTACTCACAGACGTTCCGTTGGCCAGGCCCAGACTCCGCTCACCGAATTTTCAAGGTTTGACCACAACTTGGGTTGCTTCCGGAAATCTGGCTCCAACATGATGAGAGCCTGCATTTCAAGAAATTCCCGCTACTCTGTAGCGGGTCTTGAATGCGTAAACTGAATGCCCGTGCAAGAGGTCCTGTATTATTGCAAATTCCTTTGCTATCCAGGGTCCTTATCTTGATTTGTAAGCCAACTGTCCGCATTTATTTTGTAACTCTTCTTGCTCTAAAAGCTCCCCTCCCCAATAACTTCCCCTGCCCTTCATGCCATGTTCCTTACCCATTCTCTCTTTCACAGCCTTATTCGACGTTTCGCTAATGTCTGTGGCCAATGATGTCATCACCCATTGCACGGTCATTAGCGGTTGTGGAAACGCGCCAACTTGTGCTAATAAACATTGCATTGCTGGTTCGGGAGGTTGTGTACGATTCACAGACGGACTCATGCATGGATTTTTTTGGGGTTATGTTCGCTGGGTGCTTATGTTACTTGTGGATTGTCTACCAAAGTCCAAAAGCAAAGTGTAGTACCCTGCCCGTCAGTGTAGGTCCCAATCAGGGAGGGCCATAGTTTCTGGAAGCCAGGCGGATTCTTACCAATAATGCATGATAATGTCGCGCTCCCCAGGCTTGAGGCACTTCGAACACAGGCCATCTTGGGAAGGACGCACTGCAGTTTGAGTCTTTAAACAATCCTCATGAAGAAGGCATCCTGTTGCGCATTCTCGAGTTAAAGCAGTCAGGGCCCGGCCCTGAATGGATTCGCTCACGCAGTCACCATGGATGACACTCAATTTTCATCCCCAACACTACTCTTGTCGTTTCAAATCAAGCTGAGGGCCTTGGGAGTTGTCTTGTTGCAAATGCATGAATTCGCACGTACATGGGAGTAAACCTAACTACACCACCCGGTGAGTGAAGCGGGAGGTCATGTGAGTGAAAAAAAAATAGGATTAATTTAGAAAATTAATTCTGCAATCTGATTCCAGATTTCTATATTTAGAATATTAAAGTGCTATCTACAAATCAAGTGCGGTGACTTTGTCATTGATGCATTAGCCTGATGGCTAATGCCAGCGTGGGTTTATGTTGTGCTGTTAGGCTCCGGTTCGATTCATGGGTGGGTCTGACTTTTCCAGGTTGTCGGGTTGGGGGTTTGGGTCAGGGGGTTGTGGTTAGGGGTTGGGTTTTTGGGTCGGGGGGTTGGGTTTTTGGGTTGGGGGTTGGGTTTTTGGGTCGGGGGTTGGGGATTTGGGGTTGGTGGTTGTGTATTGGGTATGTGTCTATTTTTAATGTAAAGGGGGGTTGGGTGTCGGGTCGGGGGTTGAGAGTTTAGTCGGGGGTTTGGGTGGTGGGTATGTGTCTATTTTTTGGGTTGGATGGCGGTGCAATACTTGATTTGTAATAGTGAACCGTTGGCTGGTTTCGAAATGAATTGCTACCCATTTTTTTTTCTGGCACATGACCTCCCGCTTCACTCACCGGGTGGTGTAGTTAGGTTTACTGTACACGGGTAGAGCACTCGTTCAAGAGGAGATACCAATGTACCACAGCGCACAGTGACACAAGTTTGGCTGACCGCCCCACTGCTCAAAGAGAAGAAAGGCCAGGGGAATTTTCAGGGCGATTTGGGACAGCACTGTAACTCACAATGCTGAATTCAATCTGGCCTTCCTCCATGGACGTCAGATGAGAGAACCGATAAGAGTAGCGGGTAATGCCGGCGTCCGTCAGTTATCCTACGACGCCCATGGGGAACTGAAAGGTGATGATGATGATGATAAATCTCTCTTATTACCCCGCGGCCTCGTGATGACGTGGCAGTGCGGCTATCCCGTCTTGACACCGTAGCGTACATGAGGGGATAATCTAAGCATTGTGGTATGGTGTCTGATTGGTATCTTCGGGTGTCAGCGATCCTCGGGTTCTGTAATGTCTGGGGTATTGTCGTGGGAGGGAACTGAAAGGTGTCAGGCTGGCAGAGTTCATCAAAAAATCACGCGCCATCGGCAAAAGGACCGAGAGCGCGAGCACAGGTAGAGAGAAGCATAAACGCCCACTCCGTCACCCCAACCACACCAACCAGCCGCCCTTATCGATCGTATTACGTCTTGCGATGCTTTCGGAACGTCCCCTCGAATTCCCGAGAAAGTGATTTTTACGCTCCATACAATAAGCTCTTATACACCCCCTTTCCCTCCAGATTTCGAGTCAGATGAGCAAATCCGGTCTCATTTGCTGGACTTCACACCGACGCGTCCTCTCCCGACCCTTCGTGCGTTCAGTGCATTTGAAACATCTCTGGCCTTTCATCATGGAAGTGAAGGCGAAATCCCGCGATCCCTCGTTCCACAGCGCACGAAATCGATGTTGCGCCGATACAACATTCTTGGGGCACAAGGAGCGGAGTTCTTTTGAGAGCAGGTCAATATCATCAAGGAAGGGTGTGCGAGGATACGTGCTTGGTCAGTGATCAGATTGTGCTGAAGTATAATTGATGCAATAGACATTCTCATAGACGCATTTACGCGGGTCTTCATGACAGAGTCTCCGCGATCCCACCGCGAGTCTTGGGTCGAATCAAATTTGTTGGTCATTTACAGTTCTATGGCCCGCGTCTAAGAGTGAAGAGCAGCATCATATTCAGTTCAGCGCGAACGTCCTGTCGCCAATTAATACCAGCACTTATGGTAGGGAAATTATATTTGGACTTGGGTAGTGGATACTGCCCGCATTCTACATACAAGAAATATTGTCGATGACAGTTCTGGCTGCGCTTGACTAAAAACACATGGATTCTGAGATGATGCATTGATCGCTCAAGAATTTTATGAATTTCGATTTTTGGGCAGTAGATAAGTGCGCGTTATAGTTCGCTATGTAAGGGAAAACTTGTACACTCGCTGTGTCTCCAATTTTCCTCTCGAACCAAAGACCTCAGCCACATCTTCCGGTCCTCCATCTCCCTTCAGCGCGCTTCTATCTCTCTCCACAAAGCAGACCCTTCCGTCTCTCCGAACCAAAATTACTGTAGTTAGACGGGTGCCGTAAAGTTTGCTCCTCTGCCTCGGAGGTGGTTCCGCTGGCGGAGTAGCATCAGAGTTAACTGGGGTTGAGAGGCGAGGTACAATATTGAAGGGAGGGATAAAAATCGAGTCGCGAAGACGATCTAAGGATGGATCGAAAGACGGCGGTGACCATCCCATGAGTTCCATGAGAGCTTCTATCAGAGCCACTTCCTGCTCGTCATCGGTCAGGTCTGAACTTGAGGATCTTCTAACATTAAGGATTTCCTCGAATCGTACACGACCAATATCTATCTTTGGCCATGGTCCTGTTCGACCAAGACCATCGACGGGGCTTCCATCTACTGCGTTGGATATTCCTCCGCAGTGGCATTCATCGGCAGAGGAGATGGAACGATATGCCAAGGGGCCACGGGCTCCATGATTGGTCAGCAGAGCAGCTTCGTACTCCAAACCCGATGATGATCTCGACGGTTTCGGTGCGAAGAGGGTGAAGTTGAAGCCGGCAGTCTTAAGGTGCGTCGCATCTCCGTCGTAGTGTTCGCTGAGGTAGCCGAGCAGTGATAGTTGTGTACCCTCATTATGCGAGAGATACTGCTGGGCAAACGATCCACGAGAAACGGTATGCTTCTTCCCGTCGGAAGGCTCGGTGATATTGGTCCTGTGCATATAATCATGTTTATTCTATGCAGGTAGTGTACGCAGTCAGTGGTTCGTGCGCACAAGAAACCAATATGACCACTCTTGTTGATGCCTAACCATGTGCCTCCTGCCTCTAAATCGATGCCCGATAGAATGAAGCTTTCGGAGTCTGAGGGAACCTGTCTATCATCACCAAGTGGTCCCGGTCTCGCGCCAAAGTCATGGAAATGGGCTGGCAGTGTTGGACGGGCCAAGACTTCGTCCCTATCAGCGCACAGTATCCTAGCTCATGAGAAGGGCCGGTGCCGTGCACAATGTCGGGTGTAAGACGCAAGGTAGGAGCAGGTCGACATTGTAACCCACAGGGAGTAAACAGGGTCATCTAGTGACCAGAATCCGACGCACATAATCAAAGGACAGAGGTGGAAAGAATATCGTTTATTCTGGATATTTATCGTGCAAACTACAGGCTGCTCGTGAAAGCGCCAAGGGCGGGGTCGGGGTAAATACACGAAAATAAAGTGAAAAATAAAGCGATTTGGGTATGCTTGTCCAAGAAATGCCCCAAACACTGCTCCACTCTCAAGTCGTCGCGGATGGGTTGTTTGGAAGGGTTATCGAAAGGTCGAGCTCCTTGACAGCCGAATTAATGTTGTATAGGTGACCCAAAGGACACGCTGCGCGATGAATATAGCGCAGAGCCGTGGTATAGGCAATTGAGCCGATCTGTTCACGAGAATGGTTTGGTTTAGGCTGTGAAAGCAACCACACTCCTTCAATTAGATCTCACATCTTTCTAACCCAAATCTGACCCAACAGAAGAGCAGGGATCATTTATTCTTCTCGGGCTGGGACTGCACCAGTTGTAGAGAAAAGAAAAAAAGGAAAAGAAAGGCATTTAACAAGCAACCACACAAGTACAGTAACGAACACAATGTCAACGCGTTTAGTTGAAGGATCAGAACAATAATGTATGAAAAATAAGAAGATAGTGTTTTGAGGGACGAAGATAGCAGCTTTTAGAGAATACAATACCGAAAGGAAGCCAGCGTGGGTATTACCAAGCAAAGAAGAGAACTCGTTAGGCCAAGGAGAGTAAGGTTTCCTCAAAAAAAAGAAAGCAATGAAGTTTTGTTGGGCGTTGGTTCAACGAAAAATTCATGGTGGGTTAATGGTGGAAATAAAAAAGCTTCAAGTTCACGGATTAAACTAACGCACCACCGCATTCCGGTTGTTCTTGCAGATTTCTGCGTCGCGTGTCTTAGCATCAATACCACGCTGCTGCTTCAAAACATCACGATGATCTCGACGTTGATCCCAGTCACCACCACGAGAGGGCGCAGCATACCGATGATCCCGATCCCGACCCCGCTCACGACGACTGTCGTACCTATCGCGTTGATCATCCCAACCGCTACCACCCCAACGGCGAGGATCGTCTTCCCGGTCGCGGTCATAAGGACGGATATAATCACCACGGGTTCGATAACGATCAAGATAGGGTCTGTTATCGTGCTGACGATCACGGTCCCGAGGTGTATACGGATGGTGACTTAATGAGGATGAGGATGGTCGCCACTCAGCAGCGTCATCTCGCCAACGATCGCTACTGCGTGGAGTGCCGCTATCGTACCACCCGTTTGTATGATGAGAAGAGTGTGGAGAACGATTAGAGTAGGATGACACAGAAGCAGAATCAGAAGGGGAACCTGGACCAAGAGCGCGAGAACGAGGCCCGAATTCATATTTAGAACGAGCGGGCGAAGGGGGTTCGGGGCAACTATTAAGAGAAGGGCGATGAGTACTAGTAATTGAGGGAACAGATGAAGCAGCTGGCGAGTCCATCTTCCAATACGGAGATTGCGAACCGTCCTCTGGGAGTGGAACATCTTTCTTTTGCGGTGAGGTGATTTCTCCATCTTCCGCGCCTTCCACGTCAGATATCACAGATGTCTGGAATGACGGTGCTACAGTAGGAGGCAAGGATGAAGACGAGGTCGTAGACTGTTGCGACTCCTCCCACGCTGGGCTGGACTGCAAAGTGAAGGTAGCATTCACAGCATGCGAACCTAATCGCCAAACAGGGGAACTTGGCTTTTCATCCCGTCCGCATATGACTTCATCGACCTTCGCCAGTGAGCCACTAACTCTACCCCACCCACCAGGACACTGAGCAACCGGAGCGGCGTTACAGCCTGGCTCAACGATAACAGACGGAGCGGTTGTCGTAGCGGTAGTAGTTGGGATGTTCCACTTTAGCAGCCGGGTGGATACTATAGAATCTGAGTCAATATCCATGCCATCGTCATCAGACTGACCCTCTTCCGTCATGTCTTCGATCTTAACCACAACAGGGGATAACTCCGGATGGGAAGCGGCACAGGAGACAGGCACTTTAGTGACAGGTACACTTGCCACAGAGTCACTAGACCCGGTTGAAGGCAATTTGATGTCTACCGATATGGTGGGACTCACAACGGGAACAGTACCATCACGATCCCCCGCTAGCGAGACACCCTCTGAGCTGAGAGGACGAACGGCAATGATGAGCGGTGAGACAGCACGCCCTTCATCGCACCTACCAACATCGATGGGTACAAGCCCACTGGCAAGCCCACCTTTGATAGCCGGAGCGGATGCACCCTCTGCCTTCTCCCTAGAAATGGTAGCCGTGGGGATCGTAACAGGAGCGGAAGCAGTCTTAACTTCAGGAGCACGCAGAGGCGCCAGCGCAACAGCAGGGGTTGTCACATTTTCCTTGTGTCCCTGCTCAGCAACGGCAATGCTGACCGTCTCCATAGCCCTACCTTCCTGCATCTCCTTGTCCTTATCCTCTTGCTGCTTCGTGGCAACCGCAGTTGCAAGGGCACGCTTCTTTTTCCAGTCTGCAAAACTCATTCGAGCAGCAGGTGCGGGGACAGGTGCAAAAGTTGGAGCAGAGGCAGATGCGGGAACAAATGAAGGTTGGGGTGTGGGGACAGGTGGGGGAACAGGAACAGGCAAAGGCTCAGGCACGGAAACAGGCTCTGGTGCCTCGGTTGACATTGGCGGTGGAGCGGAAAATTCTTCAGACAGAGGAGCAGGCATTGGAGCGGAAGGGGCTGGCTCTGAGTCTACTTTCAGATCGGATGCTGGAGCGGGCACAGATGGGGGGACAGATGTAGTCTCAGCCACAGGATCGGGCAAGGGTACTTGGAAAGTCGGGGCAGCGTCGGACAAAGATGAGCGAGAGACCACAGGACCAAGCGGCGTAGGTTCAGTGGCATTAGAGGAAGAATGACGGATTGATGGCGGGGATGGGGCTCGAGAAAATGTCAGGGTAGGGGCAGGTGAAGGTAGTGGCGAAGACCGAGGCTGGGACCGGGCTTCATCCGGCGTAGCTTGTCGAGAAGTAGCTGTCTTCGGTTTTACTTCAGGCGCGGAAGCTTCCTCGACAACAGGCATCGTCACCGTTACAGACGAGGCAGATGTCAAAGAACTAAGAGCCAGCTGCTTCTCAACAGTGATTGAAGCTGCAGGCTTCTCCTCATCCCTGTAGCTACTCTCCCTCTTCTCTATTTCAGTCGATAACGAGTCATCCACCGTAGCCAGTTCAGGTTCAAGTCCGGAATCGTCCGTTTCGACCTCGACTTCCATTGCGTCATCCTCAACAACCGTCCCCAAACTCGGTTCGACACTGACTCTGGGTGACGTTGAGGGCTCTCTCGATCGCTCTGATGACATAGATGATGCCTCATACGACATCTCACGCTCCGGCGTCCTCGGTGTAGTCGCATGAGACGAAACGGGCGACAAGTGGCGTTCTTCCGTCTTCGCCATTAGCGCGAAAGTGAGCGAGAGCGAAGAAACGGTCGTCGGATCCATCGAAGCAGGAAGTGGTGGTGGTGGCATTAAAGTTGCATCTAAAACAACAAACCAACAACCAATCAGTAAACATCGCGGCGATGAGGTGGAAGTTATCAAGCAAAAAAAGACGCGCACCGTCAAGCTCACGAGGACTCAAAGAGGACTCAGCAGTAGAGCAACTCGAATGTGAATCCACAAGCGACAATCCCGCATTCCCATTCTTCGCCCTCTTCCTCATCTTCGGTGGCAGCTTCACCACTTCCTCCACCTCCTCCAACTCACCGTCCACTTCACCGACCCTTGCACCATTCCTGTCTCCATCTATCATCGCGACATCCTCAGCCCAAGCTTCGACACTCTCTACTGTTGGACTCAGCCGACTGCTACTGCTATTACTCCCCCGCTCTTTACCCGTTTCCGCAACTCCAGAGCTTGACGCATTCCGCTTCAGCTTCCCACCCAACGCAAACGTACTCCACTCTCTCGGACTTGCAAGTGAAGACTTGCTAGGAACAGAAAGAGCAACGGCTGGTAACTTCATCGTTCCAACCTCCGGACTCCTGCTCTTCGAAGATGGAATCTCCATCGTGGTGGACCCGCTCGGTGAACTAGGAGTCGGCAACGAATGTCTAGTGTTCGTGTTAAGGTGAGGTAGGTTGGACCTGTCTTGCATCGTCTTCCCCACTGATCCGGCGCCTGCCAAAGTCCGACTACCATTGGCGGATACATGGTTATCAGGACTAGGGGCCGGACTCGGCGGCAGGATCGTCGGGTTGGATAACTTGGGCTGAGGTCCCGGAGAATCATACAAGCCTACAATGCTCGCCCAGCTCTTTGAGTGCAGTCTCGCAGGGGGTGTAGTAGGACTTGGCGGCCGGATCGCTAAAGGGGCAGGTCCTGGAGTGGGTGTGGGTGTGTGAGGAGTGGAACAAGGAGATATCTCACTCCGGACTGGGGGAGGCGAAACGGAGACGCTTTTAGGCGTCATCAAAGATTCACGCGGAGCAAGTGAAGAGAAACCTTTCGCACCAAGCATTGGGCCAAGATAAGGCTTTTCCTTCTTCACACTCGTCCCATCGAGTGACTCAGGCGACGACGGTGCATGCATCCTGAGTGGGAAAGGTGTGGTTGCCGTGAACTGGGACCGATCACAGATAAATTGAGACATCAATGTGAAGACGCATTTGTTAGAACCTGAGAGCTTCTGACCACTCCCGCAGGCACACGAGGTGAACGTCCCACCGAGCGTGCACAATATCTGGCACATCTCAGCTTTCAGGTTCGTTCTGATACAATTCAAAAAAGTTAAATTTCAGCATCTCCACAATTCAGAGATAAGGGGGTAAAGACTCACTCATCTTGTACGTCCGCGCACCCGTTCTCAAGGACATCATTTAGTAGTTGTACAGGACTGTTCGCATCCCATTCCCACCCCAATACGATTTCCTCGCCCTTGGCACTGATACTCCTCATGCTGTACACACCCCACTCCACACCGGCTGGGCTGCTCTCAGAGATCACAGGCCTTATCACTGCATTGGGATGACACCCGTTCCGTATGAACCTGCTCTCATTGCCCATTTCTCTTGCATCAAGCGCTAGCGATAGCGGAGGCGGGATGAGGCGAACGTGTGGCTTCGGCAGTTGTAGTAGCGCATATTGTGACAAAGGCGCACAGGTATATGCTGATACGGGGATGATGCGGGAAACGAACGTCGCAAGGAGCGTGCCTGCTGGGATGGTTCCGGAGGTCGAATTGGAGGTGTAAACGCCGTATGTAGGCGGACGACCATACGAGAGAGATTTGGGGTCTGAGTTGTGTAAGGTATTGTCGTGATAAGAAGGTGTAGCATTAGGGGGAGGCAGTGAGGCGATAGTGGGAGTCGGAATTGGTTGACACTCAGATGGAGGGACTTGCTTCACAAGGAGGCGAACAGGGGGCACCTTGATTGATGGTAGTGGGGGTAACGGGGAGCATTCAGTAACAGGTGAGATCGGCATGGGAGGTTGACTGCGTGATGAGGATGTTGGAGAGTCTCGGGTGTTACCTTCGATAGACGAGCGCCAGTGACGAATGGCTTGTCTTACACCCTCGTCCGCGATAACGTCTTGGTTGATGCGAACGAATTCATTTGCCCAAGGTTCAAACATTGTGTCCTCGTCCAGTGGGGAAATATCGACGGATGAAGAACGGTTGCGGTTGGAAGTTGGTTTCCGGGAAGAAGTGCCAGATTTTGACCTTCGAACTGACTCCGTTGTAATCTGTTGAGTGCCAGTAACGGTACTACGTCGCCGTTTGTCAATGTTTTCGGGTCGACTTTTCTTGCGCCCATTAGGTATCTGTTCGACTATTCCAGCTGCACGGAATAGGCGTTCACGGTCAGCCTGTAATCTTCGGGTTTGCCGGGCACGAGCAGCAGATGCATCCACAGGTCGAGGCACGCAACGTTCACAGAACCACTGCTCTGGTAGAGCGGCACTTGTAATGGATGATGTTGACGTTGGAGGTTTCGTTGATTTTCCCTTGGAAGAGGAGCGAGAAGAGGTTGTAGAGGAAGAGGTTTGGTCGTCATCAGAAGCCGTTGCGCTGTCGTCCTTCAAAAGAGGAGGTGGGTTGCTTAGAACGCAGCTCATGTGTTGCCAATACCCGCACATGTCGCAAAAAATGGTGAGGCCGTCATCGTCGGTATAACCGCATATGCAGCGTATGAGACCGCTGTCAGGAGTGGGTTGGGCAGAAGAAGTGGAGGGGGTTGAAGTTGTTGCAACATTGGAAGAAGAGGGAATGTCGTAGGATCGTTTTCGTTTGTTTGATGTGTGATGCGCGAGCGGGTTGATGTCTTGGTTGGTGACAGCTGGAGAATGAAGCGAGAGTCTCGCAAACGTCGCTGTAGGGGAATTCATCGCGGACGCATCTAGGGACGGCGAGTGTACGGCGAGAAAGACGAAAAAAGGAAGGGGAGAGGGGACTTTTGAAGTTTGGGACACTTGGGCTGATTGGTCAAATTGAGTTGCTTACGTAAAGACATGGTTGAAGTGCCATCTCGAGTCTCTTTCTCTCTTTTTGACTTTTCTCACACAGAACTTGCCCTTACGACGATGGCGAGGTTTCCATACGATTGTCCCGTACTGTAATGGAGTGTGAGTATCTCAAGAAACTTTTGACGGTTGAACCGGGTTTCGCCCGCTGCCGATGGTATCCTGTGAGAGACACGGAACACGAGTCAGGAGAAGTGAAAAGGATGGCGTGACATTGATAATATTATATTGTTATTATTCCATCACAACGAGTGCTAGCAATCGTTGTTGCTTTGCGGGCGTATGTAACTTTTGGTCATCAAAGGCACTTACTCTTCCATTCTTCATGCCATCGCTCACTTTTTGTCGCTAGATCATTGGCCTTTGAAAGGTGACACCCCCGTATTACACACACAGCTGGCTGAAACTGTTACAAGCAACTTGAACAACTTCACTTCCTATTGCTTGAGATCCGTTTCGCTTTCTCAACTCTTGTCGCGCGAACGCGCCTGTGACCGCCTGCAGTGCGGCTGATGCGATGCCGCCGCCGGCTTACGTCAAATATTTAACGCGGAATTTGCCTAGTTTTTTTTCTTTCTCATGCCTATTTCATGAACTCGACCTTTCCACAATGCCGCCTGTCGTTCCTCCAGTGAGCGGAACCTCAGCAGTACCTTCCTGCAGGTGAATATCGGAATGTATCCCAGTCTGTTTGGTCGCTTACCGCTGAGTTGGACTGGTTGCCACATGTGGCATCATTGGTACGTACAGCGCTTCCCAGGATACTCCCAAACCTGGTGACTCGCACGTGTGAATATCACTTGAAGTGCCACGTATTCTCCGACCCCTGCCGCGCACCTTGGAGCTTAATCCCCCTAGATGGTATTCGCTTGCATCCCCGCACATAGCTATCGCGGTGGACAGCTTGTGACGAAGATGCCGTGAAGTTCTTATCTCCACAACGCTCCCTTTATCCAATGCAAACGTACAAGATCACGCTCAACCAGGCTGCTATCGCAAGAACCCTTGGGTACTGGCACCCAGTTGCCGATGCAGGCGCCACAGCACCTTTGGTTGCCCGTCGTTTAACTGTCCCTCCAACTGAGACAAGTGCTCAATACGGTTCGCACGGCGACTTCTTACACCGCCTTGTTATCCGGAACATCCATCCGATAGAGCTCTGTATATCCAGACAACTTCAAGTCAATGGTAATCAGTCCAACTGACCTAACTCGATCGGAGAGTCAGCAGCAAGCGGTGGTTCGTATGGGATTTGTAGACTTGAAAAGGATTCTTCCTTCCTCTCCGTGCATTCCTACTTCGGACGCATCTGAAAGCTGTGCCTCCGCGGCTCCAAGGCGTCTACCCTTTGGCTGACGCTCGCCTACGGCCCAGGACAGGACTTTCTAATCGCAGATTTCAGTTCTTTCTTTGTACTACTCTTATGAAATCCGATGATAAATAAATTCACGATTCACGGTAGGCATTTCTTCTACTATACAGGTTGGAAGATAAGCCCAATTGAGATGACCGAGCGCGCTCACGCACAGTAATCTGTGCAGGCAATTGATCGAACTGTGCTGTGCCAGGTACTTGTAGTGCAAGCCGCAATCAATCCTTGTGAATAACCCGGCCTCGCTTGACGACATCATCGTGCTCAAAATACGGACTGTGCGTTCGGACTTGCGTTAAGCCCCTTTGCAAGAATGGCCAACCCCCATAGAAACACCTAGTCCCACCATCATTTGTGGCGCTGCGTTCAATATTCTCAAACCCCATGAACCAAACGATTGAAACCTGGCACTTTTCTTCTTTTCTGGCGTGGTGGCGGCGCTAGTGATGGGCACTAGTGTATATTACGACCTCTGACTGCCGTACAATGTACTTACTCATGACTGGCGTTGCGAGAAGGGAGATCCATTCGGGGAATTGGATTTGTGCCCAGACACTTCCATCTACTTACGCATTTTCGGATGCGATCAAAGCGCACAAGAATAACTTATGGCGCCCGTCCAACTGAAGTTCGCGGAGTTCACCGGCGGGAGCTCGACAGATTTCGGAGGGCAACGTAAGTTGCGGCTAAACCTCGGAGAAATCACGTGAGCGACTGGGAAGGAGTCTGGATGGGCGCTTGAACTCCGATAAGCATTATAGGCTGGCCAATTATGAACTTCACGTGAACACGTGAACCAAATTAAGTTCATGAACTAGAGTGCGTGTCTTCGCATGCGCTGACCTGCACTGCTTTTCAACAACCCTAGTCACAGAAAAAAGTGAATCATGATTAAATCATTATTCCACACGAAAAGAGTGCATAGATGTCCTATGCTCAGGGATCCCGAATCATGGCATCGGGCTATGTCAAGTGTGTGGAGACAATAGTGGATGTGTTCCGGTGGATATGGATAATAGGAAACAGATAGGAAATGGGGATGTCAGGGCAATAGCCCCAAACCCCGAGTCACATGTAAATTAGATACATATAGTCACGTGGGCAAGCGGGAACCTCCGGGTAACCGCTTACACACCACCGTAAAATACACTATCTTGTATCACTTACGGCCTTGTGTGCTGAGCCACCCTAAGACCTCACACTTTTTTAAGTGCAAGAGGTGTGTTTACAACACAACCCACAACTCTAAAATCTTAACATCTGACTCGGAAGCGCCTATGGCACCTAAACACGCCTGCAAGGGCAAGGTCGCATCTGCAGCGACACTAAAAAGAAACGAGCGGTTTATAAAGAAACCGCAATCTCCCATCATGGGAGATTCAAACCAAAAGCCATCGTCAGATGACGACGAGGATCAACATGATCCGGCATTAGCAACCACCTCAGGGCTGGTCCCTGAAGGTTTTAGAAACTTACGTGGAGTAAGTGCGGGGCAAAATACCCCCAGAACTCCACAACATACCGATCTAACCCAAGCTGGGGAAGATCCCTCACCTCCTCACGAGGTGATCGACTTGCGCGAAAAACGCGTAAGCGCCGAACGATCAGCCCAAAAAGCTGATCGGATAGAGTCGCAGGAAACTCCAGGGCCCCACTATCCCCTAGAGTCCCCCCTCACGTCCCCAAGTCAAGCCCCAAAGGCAGACAAAGGGAAACAAAGGGAAGAGCCCCTGCATCGGCTATCCAAAAAACTACTGGACTTGTTCCAGGTTCCGTCTGAATGGAGGACGGAAAGTGAAGATCAACTTCTTCTCAGGCTGAAAGCCCGAGAAGGCACGAAAATACACCCTGAGAGCAGGATCTCCCAGAGCGCGGAAGCTCCAAAAGAACTTCCGCTGTTTACACTCCCACACACCATGCCAGACAAGGCAAGGTTGCCAACCTCGGAGGAGGTCTCCAAGATAATGAAGAGGAGGCGAACTGAAATGAGGGAGTTCGCTGAGGAAGCCTTACGTAAAAGTAAGGAAAAACCAGCGAACAAACCCCCTATGAAAGGGAAGCACCCTCCACAACGGCCTCGCCTAAACAAAGCGAGCGTGGAGTGTTCACTCCAAGAACCCATTCTGGAACCCCCAGAAGCGGAAATGTCAACTGGGGAGAGTCTCTGCTCGCCCAACCAAACTTCCTCCTGGAAAACCAGGAATCGCGCATAAACGCGATAAACTTGATCCAAAAAAAGATCGAGGAAACGAACCATAATAGCACGGCTCATCTAGAGATAACTCTAGAAAGAATGGCCAACGCAATCGATGCGTTGACTGAAAAAATCAGTGAACAAACAGATTTGCTGAAGGAAATAAATTTCTCACAAAAAAGTGAGGAAACAAATAAACACCCCTGGACCATGGTCCAGGACATAAATAGAACTCGTGAAAAATTCACGAAAAGAACCACCAGTGAAAGCACACTGGAATATCATCAGCGACTCAACAGAGATGCTAAGGAGATCCTTCTCCAAAGGATAGGAGAAGACGATGCCGAAAGAAGGCATCATTCAGAGATTAGGAGGAGAATTGGCACGTACCAAAGGTTTGGCCAAACGTCCACTTATGACGGACCTCTCGAACAGAGAGGTAACTCATTCACACCCTCTCAAAACAATGAGAGAATACAAATACAACTTCAGGCGAATTCGCCTGAAACCAAAGAAATGCTGCGAGGAAGATTTCCCCCAGCAAAAACCCCCCAAAGGAGAGATCTCCATTGGATAGCGACCCCGCAAAGGCAGGGGAGCAAGAAGAGTACCTGGAGAAATGGTACGAAAAGGCCATAAGAATGGCCGAAGTGAGAATACTCACTCCCTACCCAGAAGGAGTGAAACCAGAAGCCCTAAAGAATGGGCCGGCATTCCCTGACAAGAAATGGTCAGGGGAGAACGACATGGAATCGTTCTGGCAGTGGTTCACAGAACTACTGGGATTCCTCACCTCGCGAGGATGCAAAGGTCCCCAATTTGACGAAGTCCACCTGGACTGCTTGATTCATGGATTAGGGGGGCCCGCGTTTGACCTCGGAATTAGACTCCGAGACGAAACTCTCCTCAGAGGAGACGAGGGCATGTTCCTCGAAGTTCTCAACATATTGATGAGAACCTTCATCAAAGCCTCTGCCGCGTTGAACGCGACAAAGAAATACCGCAACGTCAAATACAAAGTGGAAAAAGGCCTAAAACAGTTCTACTTAGAACTGTCAAAAGCAGCATCCCAGATGGTGACACCGCCAGACCAGGCATCCTTCAACGCCAGGTTCCTAAACTACATTCCCCTCGAATGGAAGAGGGAAATGATTGCTCATGATAGAATCAGAGCAGACTTCTCCTCAAACGAGGAGATGTTAAAAGCAATATCTCGTGTAGACGAGATAATTGATGGGCTGAAGATGTCTTCAGCCTACAAATCAGGTTATTATACCAGAACAACTACCACGGCAACCACAAGCCATGGCAGAGCCCTCCCATCAGGAAAGAAGGCGGAAGAGCTGAAACCCAGATGGAAAGAGGATACATCCTCGAAAAACTCGAGGAAAACTGACCAAAAGTCAGTTCCAATTTGCGGCAAATGCGGCAAAATAGGGCAAACGAAAGATTGCCCAAGACACAATATAACGAGCGATGAAAAACCAAGGCGCATAGCTGCCATGGAGATCACGAACTCAACGGATGAAGAGTCGAAAGGCTCATCAGATGAGAAACCAGAGAACAACTCTGGTAACTCCGAAGCATCAAGCTTTGAAGTAGAGGACCCATACGAAGGACCTCAATACTCACCCGACTCAGAGGGTGAGGAAGTCAACGTCGGGACCATAAGAATGGGCCCAATGTCAGTCATCGACCATGATGACATAAATTATAAAATCAAACTGGCTGTAGCACACCAGTTAGAAAACACGGCAGACGAAAAAGTCGCCGAAGCCTTGGTGGAAGCACCAAGAAAAGACGCCTTGGGGAAATACACCAAAGTACCCAAGGAAAACAAGGACAAAGGGAAGAAGGACCAAAAGTCCATCAAAACCCAGTCCCCCTTGTTTGATGCGAAATTCCGCATCTCAAAAGACGCGGGAAAATACCCCGCAAACAGACCGCTCTCAACGAAGAGAACGCTAACGGCTCACATAAAAATAGCAGGCATAAAAGCCTATGCGCTATTCGATAGTGGAGCCGAAACGGACGCGTTATTGCCGGACTTTGTCTGCACGGTCCACATCCCAATTCTCCAATTGGAGAACCCAGTCATCCTTCAAATGGGGACGAAAGGAACAAGATCACAGATCCTGTTCGGAACCAACGTGGACGTTGAGATCAACGGCCACGTAGAAAAACACTACTTCAATGTAATTAACATCGACAGATACGATGCCATCTTCGGCGCCCCCTGGTTAAACAAAAACCAGGTAAGCTTAGACTTCCGGTCCCACAAAGTGAGAACAGTGAACAAGGGCAACATAGACACCCTTGGAATAAGCGAAGACCGTGTGACGAGATCACACAGATGGAAAACTCGAGCAAGAGCCCAAGAACAACCAAAAAAGAAGCCCCCCTGACAGGGAGGTGGGATTGAAACACACCTCAGGGTAATCACAAGAAAATACCCTGAAGGTTGGCCCAATCCTAGTCCGGAAGGACTAGAACTTCCAGACGTACCACACCTGGAAGGTCTCTCCATGAACAACCCCGAGTTCGAAATACTCAGGGAGTGGTGGAGAGAAAAATTTGAAACCATAATGGTGCCAGCGCCATCAGAAATGCTTCCCTTGAGGGAGGTGAACCATCGAATC